GCAATGTACCTGATAGCCTGCTGTCCTATTTGATGCTGGTTCCCCATGAGCCTGTTCAAAAACTCTCTCCTCACCCTTCCCTTTCCTTTCTTTCCTCAATGTATCCTTTTTCATGTCCCTCTGCTTTTCCTATCCTTTTGCCCTTCCCGTCCCTTTCCCGTTCTTTCTCATTCCTTTCGCAATATGTTCCTTTGTTTCCTGTCCTTTCCTTCCCCCCCTTTGCTTTCCAAAGGAAAGGGCACTTTGTCAGTGCCACAGAGAAAGAAACAAAAGCAAGGAAACAAAGAAAACAAATGGTAAAGTAAAAAGCAATCTCGAATAAAGAACTTTGATAAATGAGCGGTATTGCAACTTGCGCCATCTATGGTGCCCTTCATGGCTTTCGTCTTGCCAATTTTCTTTGCAAGACCGCTCTCACAAAAGAAACTGTCCTTTCACGGAAACCACTCCTCAAAAAACATCATTGGAAAGGTGGCTTGCGCCATCTTTGCATTTCCCTGCTTTTATTTCCCCTTTCATTGTCGCGGCTTGTCGCCTAACATGGCTTGAGCCATCTGCATCTTGTATTTGGGGTTCCAGGCGTTTTTGCCTGCAGAGTCGATGGCTCATTCAAAAAGTTTGGGCCATGTTATGCAATGTTCTATTTGGGCGGAGTGTATATCTGTTGACTATGTCTCTTTTGGAGGGAGGTCCCACCATGCGTCATGGCACCCAAGGGAATGCAAAAAGGCTGCTGTCGCCTACTGCACTGATATGTGGCGTGTCAAGAGCCACGTGAGGCCAGGTGTCCAAACCAAACCCATTCCACCCACAGTTGTTTGCACACCATTCTAGTCGCATTGCAGGAAAAACAAAGTGCGAGCGCAACATCAAAGAATGCGACTGGTTGACGTGCAAACCGGTCTTTTGAGGACGGAAAAAAAAGGAAACTCTGATCGACCGCACTTCCGGAAAAAGGGTTGCCCGCTTTCCATGTTCGATCTTGGTCTCCCGGCCTCTGACCATAGCCTAGGCGGTGAACCTGCAGGTGCTGAGAGCGACCGAGATGTGGTGTCAGCGCCCGAATTCTCGGGAAAGCTGAAGTGGAACAGGAATACACTCTTGAGGATGGGGTACCCAGTGTGGGTTTTGAACATGATCTGTGTATACTCTCGTTTGGAGTAGGTTTGCTTTTTGCTTCACTGCCTGCCATCAACAATGTTGGCGCTGTGATGCAAAACCTTCTGAGGGTACAAACCAGGATGGAAGTTGTTCCTAGCAAACTTGACGAGTTCACAACTGCTGAAAGTAAAGAGACGCGCAGCACTTGCAGTATACCGTGCATGACGTTTTCACGTTTCAATTGTTCCTATTCATGGTATGAATAGAAACACTCTTGTAGGAGCCCGCAGCCAAGAATTTGATGAAATACCACGATGAACTGGCAGGATTGAAAGACGCTCTGTAGCACTTTCCGGAACAAAGAAACAAACAAAAAACACACCCATGTGATAGATCCGGGTACTTTGCTGATCCTCCCTCGTCAACGAATCTGAGCCGAGGAAAGTTCAGAGCCTCCGCAAAGTTGCCCAGAGCATCGAGGTTGAGCGACTGCCTCATTCAATTCATGCACAAGTCCTCTGTTCGCACAATGCTCTATACTCATGACTTTTCATGATTTCTCAATATATTTGGAAGACACCAAGCTGAAGACGTCTGATTCCTATTGTATATCGCAACCATTCTCATATAAGCTGGCCTTGCGTGTGTATGTGCTCATGTGTGCGCACACGCGCTTTCAATTGGACCCGTTCGTTGTCGTTGAGGACAATCCTGAAGATTCGTCCAAGCCTGACACCATGGCGTCCAGTAAGGCGAAGGCGAAGGCCAAAGGGAAGGCAGCACCTAGGTCTAAGGCGCTGACGAGCATGCTGAGGAGCCCACAAAAGAGCGAAGATCTTCAAAGAAACAGATCCTTTTGCTGAAGTTGGTTGACGTTCCAGTTTTGGAAATGCACTAGTCCCTCACCCCAGTTGTTCGCAAGAAATACGTACTTTCGGTTGCACACACCTAACACCCCACTTGGCCCTGGGCCATCTTCTTTCCTGCCAGCCCATGGAAGTTGGGGCGAGCATGGGGGGAGTGTGAAGAATTCGCCAAACCTGTGTTTCATGCTAGTAACAAGAAGCTACTAGGAGCAAGGGCGCTACTAGGGGCTCTAATAGGAGCAAGAAACTGCTAGGGGCAGTTGCCTCCAGCTTCTCCAACCCTCTTACACGCAGGCGCAGCGTAAGAGTCGGGTGTATGCAAAAAGAAACTCCCAACATAACTTGTTTCTGGAGATGAGGCAATGCACTTGCACTTTGGGTGGCGTGGTCTGGCCAAATAACCACGTGATGTCTTTGGGAAATCAATCTGAGCTTCTCATGGACGTGTGAGCTCCAAGATTGAGTGGGGAAAAGCGCAGCATGTGCTCACAACAAATGGCTAACGTACCTACCCGGTCTCAACTTGTCCCTTTGTGTTCCCACGCAGGCGCCACTCCTCATCGATGCGCCCAAAAAACGGCGAGCAGAAGCTTCGACATGGTCCTGCCGCAAAGGCTATTGCAAATGCAGTGGCCAGGGGTCCAGAATGAGTGTGGCTACAAGCTTGACTTTTTTGTTTCAACCCCAAGGTGAGGAATTGGTGGACACTGGCAGCAAAACGGTGAAACAACAACTCGTTGTGTCCTGATGGATGGAGCATCTTGAAGGAAACCATGCTGCTGGCAACGCAAAGTGATGAAAGTATACCACCTTTGCAATGCCTTTGATAGGCCTGGATATGTGGCATACATATGCTATGGGTAACCTGTTGCTCAGTTATATGATTTTAGGTGCGCAACACGATAAAGATCTCGAGCAACTAGGCCTCCAAAGTGGGCGGGCGGGTGTATCCTGCGTCCCGACAAAAGGTATCTGTTTTTCGTGGTTCGGTGGGAAGCATGGTGTGGGGGGAAGTGCTTGGCATGTTTTCAGACATTGAGGCCATGATAAGTTTTCTTGGAAGTGAAGCGCAAATCCGCCACAGCAATCTCAAGTTCTTCCTTTTCAGGAGCCACACTGGATGCCGGTGCCTGCCTTGTTGTCTTGCGCGCACGTGTGTACACATGCGCAGGAGGCACAAATGAGCGCTTCAATATTGTCATTGGAAAGGGCCGTTGCGAGGAGCGACCAACTGCAAGGAGGATCCTTCACGGCGGACACTCAGCAGATGGAAGGTGATGTTGGAAGACAGGTCGGAAATCGGGATCTTCTTCTTCCACCCATGACCAGATATGCTGCCATCTTCCTTTTTTGCAAATTCGTGCTCCGTAGTGTCTTCCCAACGGCCCACTTGAAATCTCCACTTCGCACAGACGGGCTCGCTGACCCGAAGATACAGAGAGGCCCTGTTTGCAGAAGCGACCGGGCGCAAATCGAGCCAAGCCTCGACGCCGGACGCCCCGAGCTGGAACTTCTCGCTGAGCTGCTCCTGCTTTTTGGTGAAGTTGGTGAAGTCGTAGTTCGACAAATCCCAGGTCAAGTGCCACACGGGAGGTTTGATGGCCTGTTGAGCCTTCTCAAGCTCTCGGCATTTACTGCTGAGTTCTTTGCACTTGCCTCGGATGCTCCGTAGAAGCTCGCACAACATAGTCGACGCATTTGCGTGGGTATGGTCCAGAGAGAGTGCATACACGATGGCGTCATGAGATTCATCCTCCATCTCTTTGGCAGAAAAAACTCTGCAGCAGCAAGAGCCACACGCGCTCCATCTGCTCGTCGGTTTGCCTTTTCGAGCATCTTTGCAAGAAGCATGAGCTGCGAACCATGCAAACTCTTGAGACTCTCTTGCTCAAGGCATAGTTTGGATACCACCTCTGCAGGAATGTCCTCAACCTGTTCCAGCTGTACTTTCAGAAGCAGCCCTTCTAAATGCTTGCTGTCGCTTGTCGTGCGTTGGCACAACATGCGTCGACAAATCTGCTTCGACAGGGCACGACATACATGTGCATCAGCGTCATTGATACCATGCGCCTTGACAAGCAAGTCCAGCTTCTCATCATCTTTGTCGTCGTCCATGCGCGAGGCCAGTTCGACAAAGATGGATGCCGATTTGCTGGGCGGCCACTTCTCCAAGGTGGAAATACCAAAGTCGCAAGTGAAAAAGTCCCTTGCGAAGGCAGTGGCACGCTCTTTGTTGTGCAGAAAAGTGAGGGCATGGTGGAGCAATTTCGTGTCGAGCCGTTCCAGTTTCGCTGTCAGTCTACCATGGAAAGCTGCCAGCATCAAAGATGCTGCTTGCGCCCAGTCTTGGTCATCCTGATTTTCCTGCTCTTGGGAAAGGAAGTCCCAGAGTAAACTCAAGCGTTCAGCTTGGGCCTCTGCAACTGGGGAATCTGTGATTCGGCGAGCAAGCTCCTTGCAGACCAAAATCTTGTGGGGGCCTGGCACACTCAAGGATTCTAACACGTCTCCATCTACTTGATGAAGAAGCCATATAACTTCTTGCTCGTTCATGTCTGCCAACAGCTCCTGAAGTTGCGGAGTGTCTCCAACCTCTAAAAGCATAGGCACCAGTTCTTGGTTGACTTTGCTGCGACTACCTGGCTTCATCCGCTTTCCCCGAAGGAGCAGCAATGAAGACAGCTTCTTTTTGGCAGATACATCGGGCAACGACGAACGCACAAACTGTTCACCTCTCGAAAGCAACTTGAGTGCCTCCGCTCCCTGTAGCTCCGCGGCCACGGACAAAATCTCCTGAACTGTTCTCTCCTTGTACGCGATAACCGCTGACTTCATATGCTGACTCGGGTTGAGCACCTCAGTTCCATAAACTCACATTGTTACCGGAGCTGTGTTCAGACTAGAAGTTTCCAACCACTGCTTTTTGCCCGTAGTCAAGAAAGAGGAATGGAAGCACAAAGAGAAAGTTCAGCAAATGAGTCTGGTCATCCTGAGCAAATAGAGATGAAAACCGTGTTAATGTCGCCATGGCTCACGAGTCAACAAAGGTTCACGAGTGGTTGGGCTGCCAGAGTTGAAATAAAACCACTCCGCTATGCAACGCCTTTCGTAAGTGATTCCATCTGCCGCGACCACCGGATCTTCCATCAACTCCTGGGATATGGGACAGCAAAGGTCAGGTGGGTCCTCCATGAGTCGCTTCACCTCGGCTCAGAAGGCTCCAGGTGTGCTGGACCTCTAGTTTGCTGACTCTCCAATCAAAGGACACCATTGAATTCACACGTGAACCCTTGGCAAACTGCAGCACTATTGAAATGCTGCAGGCGAGTTGCCAAGGAGGTCCAGCCATGCTCGCTACCCGCTTGCGCGTCGCTTTGGCTGTCCTGTCTGCAGGCATCCGGAAAGAGACTGCGACGCAACTTGACAAGCGCTCGAAAGATCTAGCAAAAGAGAGCCTAGAAGTGAAGGTCACTGTTAAGCGCATGAAAGGAATTAAGCAAAGGTCCTCATGGTTTTTGCTGCATTTTCAACTGGAGCTCCACCACCAAACTCAAACAAAAAGCTTCACCCGAAACGTTCATGACCTCAGTGGAGTATTGAGAACTATTTGACCCAAGTGGAAAATTACCAGGTCACAGTTGGTGTCCTTTCCAGATCGCATCAGCTCGAGCGTCTTTACGATTTCCACAGCTTCCACGTTCCACACATCTGCAATGGCGTCCACCGACATTCCCTTCTGGCCTCAGCGGCACGGGCAGAGCAAGCAAAGGCTAACAGGATTTGGGGTGAAGAAGACTGAAACACGATGTAGGTGGATCCATTGATTCCAAGAAGCACGAACAACGGCTAGTAAAGGGAATCGTTTTGAGATGAACTTAGGGAAAGATCATCGCACCCTCCATCAAAGCATCAAAAACAAGCAAAAACCGTAGAGCTGCGAGAAAATGGCTCAGGGCCACAATGTGTGAATTGCGAGGAAGCGACACGTGAAGTGAACCCTCAGAGCCTAAGCGAGGAGACTGAAACACAACTTACATAACTGTTGATTGATCAGATTCTACCGTCTTAATCTAAAATCCAGCCAAGCTGCTCATGCGGAGGATCTTCTCAGAATCCACTCGGCTGATCCCCTGGCGCCGGCGATGGATGAAATCCTGCGTGGCCACGAGTTATTGGACTACTAGTAGCAAGAAGCTAGTAGGAACAAAGGCAAGGACGCTACGAACGTAGCTCCTGGCATTACCACTATTAGTATTCTTGCTACTAGGAACAAGAAGCTTTCCTTTCCTCTCTTACTTCTTTGGACACCGACCACCCGGTCGACCCAGCCCGCCGGTGGACACCTTCTCCGTGGATGGCGCCGATGGCTCGCTGGGCTCCTGGCGTCGGTCTCGCTGAACAAAGTGATTTGGCAATGTGTTTTCTCTCACCAATATACGGAAGTTCACATATAAACCAACCTGGAAAACAAAGGATCTGCCCTATCATGAAAGGGTGTTTTGCTGCGCGCAATACCGCATTGTTTCGCGATTCCTGGATTAGGATAATTAGGGGCGATTAGAGTAAATAGGTGAAACCTCTGCGGGAAGTCGGAAGGCAGTGTCTTGAATCTTCTAAAAGCTCCAAGCTAAACATTAGGAGGTGAATAGAATAGATGTAATCCAAGCACGCTCTCTCCCCAATACCAACAAGGAAATCAAGATTTTCTGTTCATGTGTCCCCACCCCCCAAGCGTCAAGCCCAATGTGTGGAATGGATAAATTTTGCATGGCCCATGTGGCGTGTCCTTAGCCTTTGTTGTTTGGAGAGAAAACCCTAAACCCCTGCGGCCCCTGCGCCCCGTGTGTCCACCTCCTCCACCTCCTCGGCGCTCCTCCACCCTTCGCATCTTCGCCGGGCGATCCGGCATCGGGTCCACGAGGCCCTCGACGGTGGGGGTGGGAGGTGCTCTGGAGTAGTGAAAAAAACGGAAAACGGTTGGACCTTTTTGTTGGGGAAGCTCCGCGGAAGTCTCGCTCCGCTGATGTTTGGCGGAGTGGATTGACAGCTGTTTGCTAGCGAAACCATGGATCTAACGGTCTCATGATCGTTTTGTGAAGCGATGCGAATGTTCACTCTGACTGGCGGTACTTTGGGCCTCAAGGCTCCTGTACTTTTCGCTCCCTGAAGATCTCCGATTTTGACCAATGGCATTTTGCAAGCGGAAAGCGTGTCTGCGCGTGTCTTTCGTCGCCCGCGCCGTTTGCGCGGCGCACATCGCGCGCTCGAGCGCTACCCGAGCGCTGTGGGCGGCGTGCGCGGTGACCGCTGTGCGTGCGCGCACGTGGGTGTATATATATATATATATATTTTTATATTTAGACTCATACGCAAGTAAACTTATGTCCGGTGCAAGTGAACGCTCGCTTGGAACCCGGGCATTCCAAAAATGGAGTTGCGGAGTGCTGGACAAAACAAATCTCTCAAATTGACACATTGAAAAACGCGAAGAAACTGGGGTGGAGGGAGGAGGGATCGCGGGATCCGACTTATATATATATGTATATACTGTATAGTTGTCATTCAATGGGGTGCAATTGTCAAGTACATCTACACTTGCCAGCTCCAAGCAGCCAGCAACCCAAGCTGCTTCAACCTTTTCACCAAAGCGCAGCTTCACCGGTGAACGGTGAAAGCCTTGTGCCTCAGCCGTCCATCCCACGGACCTCCGCACCCTACCGACCTTTCGACCTTTCAGGTCCGGCTGGGCAGGTCCGAGCGAAAAACGCCCAAGGACTTGGTTGAAATGATCCTGCAAAACACGGATTGCCCGGCTGTAGGTTGCAGGCAAATGACCGCGAGGTGGAATGTTGGGGAGCACTGCACTGCACAACAAAACTGACTATGCGATAATCGGTGATGATTTCACACAGGGGGCCCGGCAATCCGCATGACGCTTCAATGGCCACGTGACTCACCCCGACAAAGGATGCGCACAGCCTGCTGCCAGTTCTCCCCCAACAGTGACCATATCCGACCCAAAGTGCAAGGGACGTGGTCCTTATTTGGAAGGCTCTGCCGCGGTAGTTGATGGAACTGGAAATAGGGTCAATCTCCGGCAGTCACCATCCAGTGATGTAAAATCGGTTCATGACATGTGCCTTGACAAGTGTGTATCGATTGCTGCTCTTCCCCTCTCACTCACCACCTGCAGGCCGCCCTTCTCTGCGGGCCGGGTGCTCCACCTGCAACCACAAACCCTCATTCTTCCACAAGTCAAGCGTTCTTGGAGCACAATGCGGTAACCCCGACAGAACCTAACAAAAACTAATAAGCAATCTCCGCCCCTAATAAAGATGTACTTGATATGCTCGGACGACGGCATGGCCACGTGCGAACTGCCCTTGCGGTGATCGCAGTGCTCTTCCCCTCACGCGAACCTCAAGCTCTTCCAGCGTGCTCAACGCGGATGAACTTCACCTCATGAGCACGAGCGCACTTCCACTCCAGAGTGCAAACAATGGTTCTACAAAATGATGGTCTTGGGGATGTTACAAAAGGCGGAACAACGGTGCAACATGTGGCTGTGGTTGCTAAATGTGTGAGCTGGATCTACTTAGCTCTCCGAACTTTTTGCGAAAAGTCGAAAAGTGCACGAAAAGGCAACGATGATAAAAAGAGTCACCCGCCAAAAGAACCCGGGGCTTGCAGGGTCCTTTTGGCGGGCGTCTCTTTTTTGAAGGTCATCGGGGCTGCATGTTTTGACCTCCAGATCCTCTCTGCTCAAGGCTGACTCACTTTGACACGGCTGGAGATGTCTAGAAAATAGCAACCTATACCTATATCTGTAGGAGCAATAGGAGCAAAAGCAACGTTTGGATCAATTCTTCTAGACTTTCGTTGAAGGGCACGGCATGTGACTGGTGTCCAAAAATATCGAAAAGTCGAAAAGTCTCGCTGCGTGCTTTCGTTTCCTTTACCTTTTTGAGTGTTTGCCTTTTCTCACTTTTAGACTTTTTGCGTTTGCTTGGTGCCTTGCAAATAGATCGTCGCTCAAGGATTTAGCGAGCTTAGAGATGTGGTGCCCCACACAATTTGAGGTGTAGCGAGCCCTTTCTTGACAAAACCTGGACCCTGAACCCTAACTAACCCTGCCTATACACCGTCAACAAAAGGAAACTTGGACCAGTGACAGGCAGGGGCTGCGCAGAGCCACTGCGCAACTTGGTTTGAGAAGGGTCAAGTCAAGTTGTTTAAATCAAGCTGTTGGCTAAAGAGACCTGGGTCGGGGGAAGAAACCTCTGATGGTTGGTCTTCCTGTGACTGAGCGTGATTTAGCCTCGAGGTAGTCTCACCCAAACTTTCTTGTGGACGGGCTGCCGAAATGAACCGACAAATAGGGCAAGTGACGGAGGACTCAGGCCAGTTCCGGCGTGCACACAGGCGTTGACAGCACTTCTCGTGAAGCCTGTGCCCACAAGCCTCAAGAACGATGGGATCCATCAGAATGGAATCCTCTTCGGTGCCAATGTCATCTACAGTAAGCATGAGCGCACTCCATCTCCATGTTATGATCCATGGCAAGAATAACAATCAATCAAGGACACGCTACAAGGGTAGGCAGGTAAACTACCCGAAGTTGCTCCATCAAGTTCCAAGCCCATCCCGTGGTCTTCAAGCAAGCCAACCCGCCCTGGCGTACCTCATGGCAAACCAAGGCCGCTTTGGGACAGCATGAGGTCGCTTGCAAGCCTGGATCGTTTGGTGAATTAATGTCGCGGCCCAATTGGCAATACAAAACCCAAAAGGCATTGTAGTTTCCGATGCGCTTGCAAAAATTGTGCGTCGAATGCTCTCGTCTGACGATTACTGTCTTTCCACTGACTGCGCACGACTGCCTGAAGAATCAAAGGAAACGAACTAGCAGCTATAGTTGTTTCTCCCGAACGACCTTTCACGATATTGCCTTGAGGTCTATCGGGCGTGTTTGGGATCGGTGAGAGCTGGACATAATGCTGGAGATGCGGGCGTCCTTTTGGTGCCTTTTTGGTGGTATGTTTGTTGACAAAAAGGACACCCAAAATTGTATCAAGAAAATGCAAAAAATGCAGGGGATCCAAGAAGCATCACTAGCATCATGGTTCTCTAAAGGATGTGTTTTTAAGTATTCTCTTCTTTTCTTATTCCAACTTGTCTCACCGGCGCTCCACAGCTGAAGAGTGGCACAAATAAATCCGCCTAAGGAACTCGTCCTGCAAAAACCGCTCGCAGTCTTGGCTAAATGTTGCCCAAGAATCTGCTAAAAAGGAATAATGAAAGCAATAGTAGACTTGATGTAAGTCTTCTTATTGTATTCTATGTCTGCATCACCAGTTTCTTCACAATAAAACTAATGGTGATAGGACGAGTATTGCAAGCCAAGATTGATTGCGCAACTCCCTCCAAATCGCTGGCTCCGGCCCCTGGCCTGCTACGCCACTTCCGCTTTCTCATGTTTTGCGCCTTAGAGGGGAGCCATATCAGATCACTCGGTTGGTTTTGCTCAAAAGCCAAAGGGCGTGGAGTTCACGAAAGCTGGAAGGCTGCAGGTTAATGAATGGGCGTTGGATCACCACACCTGTACATATATTATATATATGTATAAATATGTATCTGTATAGATTGTATAGTTATTTTCAGGACTTCCAACCACCCAAAATCTGGTCTCTTCCTATCAAAAACAGTCGTCAAATGGGCTTTAGGTGTGCGTATGTAACCTTTATACTATATAGAGCCAATTGGGAGAGGTCTACGCCAGTGAGAACCCCAGCAGACCTACCACCACCCTTTCCACCCCGTGAACCACCGAAGAGACGCCCAAAAAACTTTCCTCCGGGTTCTAGTTCATAGGTATGTATGTTCTTGGAACCCATGAAACCTGGCGTTATGCACCTATTCTTTGCGTTTATGTGTTTCATCATGTGTCCATCTCTCCCTTCCCTCTGGCATGAGGAAGCTGGTACCTGTCACGGACTAAAGGGCAACTCTTTCGGCATTGCGGCGTTGAGCGCATTCCTAGACTTCCTCTTGACTCCATGACAACCGGTTGCTGGTGATGCAGGGCCCGAGCCCTGCATATCTCGCATCTTCTTGACAGCATGAATACACATCAGCCACCTTCAGTTACTGTCAGCGTCAAAAAGGGAAAGCCATTCAAAACATGTTTTGGTGCAATCGTCTCACCTGCTTCCCCCTTAGCATCCCTTTCCACTCACCTCAAAAAACCGTCTTTGTCACACACGACGTGTATCTCGTGTCCCAACCAATTTGTGCGGTGCAAATGGTCAATACATGACTGGCATACCAGTCGAGGTTTTTCTATCTATGGTTTTCGATTGTAATTTTACTCCAGGGCCTGCAGCGCAAAAAAAACAAGGCAGCTCCTTCCCCCAGGCCCATCCTCTCTCTCGTTCAGCAAGCCACCGGCCAATCATCGCGCCACCGTGCCAAATCCCGTTGCCTCGGCAGCAAGATGAGACGCGAAAACGATGAAGAGGCGTATTGAGAAGTACACACATACTGCGCAGTGTATTAGAGTGGAACGTAGGTGAGACTTAGAGCTTTCAAAGGGAGGATTATGGCAAGGGTTCCTATGGGTTCCCATAGCCTTTCGACTCTACGACCCAGCCGCAGCGACAAATCAAAAGGCTGGACTTCTTCTTGGTGTTTTGTCTTCATGTTTTATTCCAAGGAGTTCCTTGATTTTTTCTCCATCTGTTTGGAAAATCCCCTGACCCCCCTCACGCTTTTCATTCACCTTCGGTACCCTGGGCTTGATGCCCAAGCACCACTATGGTCTCTGACGGAACCACGTGGATGAAAGTCACCATGTCGAGGTAGGTAAATCATGATAACTCCCAGGTGTTCACGGAACCCCACCAGTTTGCTTTTTGAGTGGGGGGGTCCCAAATCCCCCTTCATAAGTTCGGTGACCTCCGAATACTCTCCAGTGAAGATTACCCAACCGTTGGTAGAGGATTTCATGGTCTTCATTTCCAGGCCATGCCATCCACTTCCATGTTATATAGCGGGTCAGAGTGTAAACCACGTTTCACTCCCTGGGATGCCGCCGTGGCCGGTCGTCATTCAGCCTGCGGCTTGCGTTAAGCCTCCCGGCCATTGGCGCCCCACGCCATTGCAACGGAAGAGCTGCACCGTGGGGGGAAGTACCCAACTCCACCTGGCTTGTGGTGTGAAGGTGTGAAGGTCAGGCCGTTCCGCCATCAAGTCTCTGGGATATGTTGTTTTGTTTCTTAATAATACATTGTATTGTACTCAAACAATTGGGCCCTTAGATTCCACCAATGCTGTAGCTATTACAGGCCAACCGTACAAACAGCAAATTACATACAAACGAAAAACCCTTTAACATCTATGACTATCGCGCGCGGTTTTCAAGCCGCACTCCGTACCCCCCGTGTCCGGCTTCATTGGAGTCAGCAGCACCACAGAGCTTGGAGCCGCGGGCGAAGAAGACCTAGGTGGAATGGGATGCTGGACTCTGCCAAAGCTCATACGTCCAATTCCAATTCCATACGTCCAATCAATTGAATTGGATCGCAGAAACCTGCAAAAAAACACGTCATAAGAGGTTTTTCTTAGGCCAATAATTAGCCCAGCTGGAGACCCCAATAGCAAGATACAAACCGGGACAAAAAGAAAAATCTGGAAACAGCTGCTGTTTTCAACACGTCGACCATCTCTTCCTTGGACACCATCATCACATAACCGGGACACCATCACAAAATGACCAGGGCACCATCAAAACATGACCGAGACACCGTCACAACATGATTGGGACACCATCACAACATAACCGGGACACCATCACAAGGTGACCGGGACACCAGCATGACATGACGGGGACACCATCACAACATGACCGCGACACTATCACAACATGACCGGGACACCGTCACATGACCCGGAAACCATCAAAACATAACCGGCACACCGCCAAAACATGACCAGGACACCATCACAACATGACGGGACACCATCAAAACATGACCGGGACACCGTCACAACATGAGCGAGACACCATCACAACATGACTGGGACACCGTCACAACATGACTGGGACACAATCACAACATGACCGGGACACCATCACAAGGTGACCGGGACACCAACATGACATGACGGGAAAACCGTCACAAGATGACCAGGACACCATCACAACATGACCGGGACACCGTCACATGACCCGGACACCATCAAAACATAACCGGCACACCGCCAAAACATGACCAGGACACCATCACCAGGACCGGGACACCATCAAAACATGACCGGGACACCGTCACAACACGACCGGGACACCATCAAAACATGACCGGGACACCATCACAACATGACCGGGACACCATCAAAACATGACCGGGACACCATCAAAACAGGACCGGGACACCATCACAACATGACTGGGACACAATCAAAACATGATCGGGACACCATCACAACATGACCGCGCCACCATCACATGATCGGGACACCATCAAAACATGACCGGGACACCGTCACAACACGACCGGGACACCATCAAAACATGACCGGGACACCGTCACAACATGACCGGGACACCATCAAAACATGACCGGGACACCATCAAAACAGGACCGGGACACCATCACAACATGATTGGGTCACAATCAAAACATGATCGGGACACCATCAAAACATGACCGGGACACCAGCATCACATGACCCGGACGCCATCAAAACATGACCGGGACACCATCCGCCCACCAGCTCTGACGGTGACCCGACGGCGCCCGTCCGCCTATTAGTTTTGCAAGACCCCATAGCATGGCTATTGGGGAATTATGTCACGTAACGTGAAACTAGGCCTCAGCGTCCATTAGAATCTTGTGTTGGAGGCAAGCATACTCCACAAGTCACAGCCCTGGTATAGTACCAAGACGAGCGCCTGTCTTCCTGTAATCCCTGCAAATGTCTGGGGGATTGAATGGGACAGGTTTCCCATTATCCACAGAATCACGCTATGCAGAAAAGTCAGTCAGGCACCGATGTTCTTCGAAACGGCAAGGTTTCCTCTCAAATTTACAACAAAAGACTCTCTTTCTCCTGAAGACCCTCAGTTCCTCACAAGTGCCCTGGTTATTCTTTATGTTTGTGTTGACTCCTGTTTAAACTCTATCCACGTTCGTTGGAGGAGTATCGTGTCTATGTTTCGGAACATGACCTCCATGCCTGTCAGTCAGATACCACAGAACACCACTGGACAGCTGAGTGGAACCTATTGTTTGTTTGTGGCTTCCATGTTCCACTACCAGACCTGCCAAGGAATGCCAAGGGACTGCACTTCTCCCAAGTATTGATCCATGGCATCGCATCAGCACGCGAGTCGTGTCTCGACACAGACCCTTCTGCTTAGAAAACATTGCGGGGTTAGGAGTTCGGACCTGCAATCTCTAAGGCATCAGTCCTATTCCCCACATGGCTCTTCTGTTGGCGGACCTTGACACACAAGAACGCAAACAAAAGAATTACGGCTTCCGTAGACGTTAAGGTGATTCTAGCTCTTCCGACCGGGGAGACTCAAATGACACTCTTGAGCGCTGCTTTCAACCTTGGAAATGGCTGCAGTTTCTTGAAGAAGCGCCAAACACACGACACTGACCGATGGAGCGGGCAGAGCGGCTGGAGGAGCGGAAGACGCTGATCCCAAACTGCCTTTGACACAATCCAGGCCTCCTCCATTCTCCGTCAGAGACTTCCGGAAGGTTCAGGAGACATGCGCTGCAGTCGAGGGAGCTCAAACATGGCTGAGATAGGAAGCAGAGAATCACCAACACTGCGCCGCAGAAGGCTTGGTTCAGCTCTCGAACACAACTTCAGAACTATGGATGATCCTACCTTGTTCCCAATATCTTAGAACCTCTGCATACTTTGCGTGAGGGTTGGCTACTTGAGCTGCTTAAGACAAACACAGCAAGTCCAGCTAGAGCCGTCGGCGGAATTCAAACGCAGTGTCATCATTGTTCCCTTCCATGAAATGCTGCGATAGGCTCCATGAGAAAAACAATCAGTGTGACTCAGAGGTCCTACGTGAAGACATTGAGTATGGACACTATGAACATCTATTGTCGCCATTTGTGCACCACGCATTCCATCAGGTCACGCCCAGCGTATCACGGTGTGGCCTCTGCGCTGCCACAGATCGAAGTCAACCTGTGCATCAATCGAGCTGTGGCTGAAAATCACGTGGACACTAAGCAGAGGTGCAGAAAAGAGAGAGGAAGACATTGAAAATTTAAAGACCTCCCCAGCTCTCAAAAACGTGTGACTGCTGAAAGGCACTTGTTCAAACAGCCCTGCCAGCAACCTTTTTTTCTTTGATGTCCGTGCGACGCAGCTAAGCGTTGCTTTACTTTGGGAAAGCTATTGACACTGTCGCAGGTCTCGGACCAAAGGGTATCCACCAAAGGGTATAATTAAACTTTGATCAAACCCCATGACCTCAAAGTTTGAAGACATGCCAAGCATGTCTCTGCCCGCTCAAAACTGGCACAGCCAACTTTGCAGCAGGCACCCCCTGCACAGCCTGGGATCTGCTCTTCAAGAGCCGGGAGCGACCAACCGCAGTGAAGACCCGGCGCGGCGGACGCTCAGCACATGGAAGGCGATGCCCGAGGCGAGGTTGGAAAAGGGGATCTGCTTCGGCCAACCATAGCCTTTCAAGCTGCCATTTGCCTCCTTGGCAAATTCGTGCTCCGTAGATGCTTCCCAACTTCCCACTTGACATCTCCACTTCACCCAGACAGGCTCGCTGACGTGAAGATACAGCGAGGCCTTGTCTGCAGAAGCCTTGGGTGTCAACCAAAGCCAGGCCTCGACGCCGGACGCCCCGAGCTGGAACTCCTCGCTGAGTTGCCGCTGACCTTCGGTGAAGTTGGTGAAGTCGTAGCCCGACAAATCCCAGGTCAAGTGCCACACAGGAGGTTTGATGGGCACTTCTTGAGCCTTCTGGAGCTGCTTGTACTTGTCCAAAAGCTCGGTGTATTTCTCATCGAGGCCGGTAGACCTTTTGCCCAGCACCTGGCACGTGGAATCTAGGCTTTGCCACTTGATACCAAGATCTTGGCATTGGTTTCCCAGGTCCTTACACTTGCTTCTGATGCTTCCAAGAAGGTTGCAGAGCATCAAGGATGCATCGTCGTTGGTGCGGTCTAGATGGTGGGCAAAGGCAACGGCCCCATGAGATTCATCCTCATTCCCATCTGCAGAGAAGGCTTCTGCAGCAGCAACAGCTACTCGAGCTCCATCTGCTCGTCGATCGGCCTTTTCGAGCATCTTTGCAAGAAGCATGAGCTGCGAACCACGCAAACTCTTGAGACTCTCTTGCTCAAGGCATAGTTTGGATACCACCTCTGCAGGGATGTCCTCAACCTGTTCCAGCTGTACTTTGAGAAGCAGCCCTTCTAAATGCTTGCTGTCGTCGGTGGTGCGTTGGCACAACATGCATCGACAAATCTGCTTCAACAGGGCACGACATACATGTGCATCAGAGTCATTGATGCCATGTGCTTCGACAAGCAAGTCCAGCTTCTCTTCGTCTTTGTCGTCGTGCATGCGAGAGGCCAGTTCAACAAAGATGGATGCGGATCTGCTGGGCGGCCACTTCTCCAAGGTGAAAATGCCAAAGTCGCATGTGAAAAAGTCCCTTGCGAAGGCAGTGGCACTCTCTTTGCTGTGCAGAAAAGTGAGGGCATGGTGGAGCAATTTCGTGTCGAGCTGTTCCAGTCTCGCTGTCAGTCTACCATGGAAAGCTGCCAGCATCAAAGATGCTGCTTGCGCCCAGTCTTGGTCATCCTGATTTTCCTGCTGTTGGGAAAGGAAATCCCAGAGTAAACTCAAGCGTTCAGATTGGGCCTCTGCAACTGGGGAATCTGTGATTCGGCGAGCAAGCTCCTTGCAGACCAAAATCTTGTGGGGGCCTGGCACACTCAAGGATTTGATCATATCCTCATCTACTTGGCGAAGGAACCACAGAACCTCTTGCCCATCCATGTCTGCCAACAACTCCTGAAGTTGTGACATGTCTCTAACCTCCAAAAGCATAGGCACGAGCTCTTCAATGACTGCGCGACGCTCTCCTGGCAGCATCCGCTTTCCCCGAAAGAGCAGCAACGAAGACAGCTTCCTTTTGGCAGATGCATCGGGTAAGGACGCACGGACAAACTGCTCGCCTCTCGAAAGCAACTTCAGTGCATCATCAGTCGGTACTTGAGAGGCCACGGACAAAATCTCCTGGACCGTCTTCTCTTTGTGTGCCAGGACGGCCGACTTCACGTGCTGGTTGGGGTTGAGCACCTCAGTTCCATTCAAGTTTTGAACCACTTCTTGCGCTGAGTTAAATTAAACAGGCACTGAGACCCAAAGAGGGAGTTGAGGCGTTGAGAAAATGAGTTTGGTCATTCTCAGCAAATCAAAATGGACAAAACATGTGCTTCAACTTTTTCACCATGGCTCATGAGTCGACAAAGGTTCACGAGTGGTTGGACTGCCCGAGTTCGACTGAAACCACTCCGCGATGCAATGCCTTTCGTAAGTGATTCCATCTGCTGCGACCACCGGGTCCTCCATCAACCAGTGAGATATGGGACAGCAAAGCTCAGGAGGATCCTCCACAAGTCGCTTCACCTCGGCTAGAAACGCTCCAGGGTGAGGTGTGTAACAAAGGTTTGCTGACTTTCAGAGCAATGAAAGGACACCATTTACATGTGAACACGCGGCAAACTGCTGCACTTTTGAAGTGCTGCAGGCGAGAAGCCAAGGAGGTCCAGCCATGTTCGCTACCCACTTGAGCGTCGCTTTGGCTGTCCTGTCTGCAGGCATCCGAAAAAGGCTACCATACAACTTCAAGCTTAAAACTGCTCGCGAAAGAGAACCTAGATTTGCAAAACAAGTCCGTCAAAATGTCTTTATCTTCTGCAGGAGTGGCAGCAAAGCCTCTAAAGCAAAGGCTAAGAACTTTCCCTCTAACCTACAGTTGTGGTTTTGAGCCTGTTGCCTCAACATGGCATGAGTGCAAATGCCATCTAATTTGGCACAGGCCTGTCGAGCGTTTTACGGTGGCCATGAATGTGAGAAAAGTGTAAGCGTGGCGTTGCATTTGGTGTGACTGGAGAACCGGATCCCATTCTTTTGAAGCTGCGCAGTTGAACCATTTAATTCATGTCTACCCTTTGTGAGATAGACCAGGCCATCACTTTTGGATTGGGGGCCATCGCTAATAGGTTGAAGGTCATTGCTCTTAGAGCCATCTCTATTGGGTGAGATAGACCAGTGTCTTCCCGCTTCCAGTGCAATCGACACTGGTAGCGGAGCCTGGACGAAAGGGCTTGGGAGAAGAGTGCATGGCAGCTAGAAGCGAGGAGACATCTCTGTTGCCGACATGGAACGGAGACTGGAGTCAATTCCGGGCTTATGAGATGAAGGTCTCACTGGAAGTGGACTCAGTCAAGAAGGAGGACAGATGCTTGGTGGGCCAGGCCTTGCAAAAGCACTTGTTGGCAAAGCTTGGGAGTTCGTTGAAGGAATGTACTGAAGCAAGCTGCACAGTGAGAATGGCGCAACCTATCTCATCCAATACCTGAAGGAACAGCGAGGAAAAGACAAGGTGGATCTTCTCCGAGATTCTTTCCGTGATATGTTTCAGAAGAGTGACCTGCATCGCAGAGACAATGAGCAATTGCAGAGTACCTTCCACGGTTCAAGAACTATGTGAATGAGGTTCAGAATCCGATGAAAGAACCGCTTGAGAACAAGTCAGGTGGGGGCCTGGCTCAGAAAGATCAACAAAGAAAGAAGATGAAGACATGGAACAAGAACTTCATGGCTCATTCGATCTATGAGGTCGAAGCTGAGCGAGACGACCAGGTCGAAGAAGAAGTGGAAGAAGACCCAGCCTGGTCTCAATTTGATGACCTAGCCGCAGCTGTTCTTGAAGACCCAGAGACTGAACAGTTGCTGACCGCCTTCCAAGAAACTTCAGTACAGGGACGCACGAAAGATGCTGGCAAAGTCTCGAACCGCTCGAGACTGCTATCCTGTGGACAAGTACACAAAGCCTTTCAAAGGAGATGGAGGAAATGACAAGTCAATAGTTTTCCTTGGTGACTGCATACGATGTGGCAAGTATGGTCATCGTGCTCGTGATCGCCCTCAGAAGAAGCCAGAGAGAAGTGGAAAGATGGATTTTCTGCATGACGCATCGAATGGAGAGGTGCACTTGGTTTGTGAGAAAGGTGATGCATCCAAATACATGGTATTGACGAGTGCCAATGAACCTTTGAACCTATCTTTGCAGTGAACTCAGTGAACTCTGAAGAAACCTGTTTTTGTGGAATTCTTGACTCCGGTGCCTCAGAGACAATCATTGGAGTTGACACTCTGCAAGAGCTCTATGAAGACAGAGCAGCAGAAGATCAACCTTGTTCACAAACAACAGATGGGAAGATATCTTCTCAAGAATTTACGAACCTTGGCTGAGATTCAGGTGTTTGAGCTGCAAGGAGGCATTAGCGGAGAAAAGCCGTGGACTGCCAGCTCATGGCACGAGAAACCATGGAATCACATGTGTAAACTAGCTGGGGGTCGTTTTCGGTGTTGATGGTTGCTAGTTTAGTTTCAAGGATGTTGCGAGTGGAAACCTCATGCACAAGAATTAGTTTCTTTCTGTTCTTCTCACCCTGGTGTCAAACGACGTTTGGGAAAGGCATGCAACCATGCTCCATCACAACATGTCCGTATTGAAGCAAGACTGACTGCTTTCAGGCCTGTTTACCCTAGAAAGCTGTGTGACACTCTTGCAAAAGGGCTGCTTGATCATACAATTGAGTTTGAAGCCTTGTCGTATATGTAGCTCACCTGAACGTCAAAGAAACACATTTTGAGAAATGTGCGGGAGGGAATCTTTGCAAGCAGGAGTGCGCAACACGACGCGGGGCTTGGGGAGGAGCAGGCTGCAGCAAACAATGAGGGGGAAGGAGATGGGGACCATGTTTTTCAACATGATGAACTGGAGGAGGTGCGAAGGACGGGATGAGCAAAGAGATGAACACAATAAAGAGCATGAACAGGAGGAGCGATTAACCCCCGAGGAAATGACTGAACTACAACTTGTGCGCAGAATGTTGGACACCCTAGTTCAGCGTTTTTAGTAGTTCGCGCCTTGAAACACGCAGGAGTTGCTGAAGGTTTCATTCATGCTGGGAAACGTGTAGAGTGTTTCTTTCCGCAAACGACTTTGAGGAAACCTGGTTTACCAGCTATTTTAAACCAGGTTCAGCAAAGGTGGCAAGTTCTCAGCATTGACACTTTCTGGTGGAAGCACCCGAAACCTCGTTCAGACGGCAAGGAGAGATACCTGATCGGTTCAACCTATCTAGATGAAGCTACTGATCTCCATGTGGCAAGCGTTATCCGAGAGAATGAAAGAATGCCTAGTAACAAGAAGCTACTAGGAGCAAAGGGCATCGCTACTCGGAGCAAGGACGCTACTAGTAGCTCCTGGCCTTACTACTAGTAACAAGAAGCTACTAGTAGCTTCAGTGACAGGGGACAAGTTTCGAAAACTCCTCGTGAAAGACTGGCTCAAGTGTTAAACGCCAGGTTTTTCGAAGTGGTGTTGAGGGATGTTTTGGGGGGCCCAACACGGTTTCTTGGTTATAGAAGAACCAAATGATTTCCGTTGCCCCAATGGCTTGTGAAGCGTACTGGCAATTTGGAAAACATCCACGGCATCTTTCCACCTTGAAAGAACAAATGACGAAACTGGCCCCTGAGTTGGAAGCCGATGTAAGTTCCAAAGAGATATCCTGGCCCTGTGTTTCGGCTGAGAATAGATGATCTTCATTCGGTGCGACGGCGAACGTAAGACCGCTAGGGCATGCTAGGGCTTTTTGAAGAGTAGGAGAGCTCAGAGATTTCACCTTGGCATGTTGGTGTACTACTATCGGAAAAGTCGAGGTAGGGGTGCCAAGATACTAGGGGACAACGGCATGGACCTGCTTGAGTTCTTTTCATTGACCGGACCAGTGAGACTGAATGACATGTTTCGGGGTCGGTGATTTGGGTGTCTCATGATGAGTCATGGGACTTCCTTACAAACTGCAACCTGTTGAAAAGGATGTGAGTTACATTGATCAGACTGTGAATGGACTTTTTTCTCTTGATGAGTTCATGAAAGGAAAGCATGCGTTGTCGATCTGTTTGCCGAAAAAGATGTGATTGAACAAGACTACAAAAGGATGAGGAGACAGCTTGGAAACATGGTTCGAGAGACATGGCTTTCGATTTGGAAGATGATGGAACTCGACCCGAAGGACCTCTAAAACGTCGCCATTTTATCACCAAGCAATCTCTTGACAGCTAAAGCACACGGGCAAGACCTTCGGATGGGTGTGGGACAACGAGTCCTCCTACGTGGTGTGGGTGGCGAGTCGTCTCAAGCTGGAAGGGGAGTGGAAGGCTTTCCTGCATTTCATCCACAAGAAGACGGCGAGCCTCGAGCTGGAGCAACGACAAGCAGCGGGGGTCAAGTCAGGGATCGACGAGTCGGACCAGTGGCTATCTTCCAAAGCATCCTATGGCGCCATCTGAACAAGATCTCGAAGACCTGAGCTGAGGCCTTGCATGGAACCACCTAGCGTCCACAGAGATGGAAGAGAACGCTCATGACGAAAGCTCTCCAGCAGATCACCCAGCGCTTGGAACAGCTTGAGTTGGTGATGACCGAGATCGTGAACAAGATGAAGAGCTCGTGAGGCAGCTAAAGAGAGAATGAGAAGGCACGCCATCATCCTCTGACATAGAACACAAGGACAAACGACTGAGAACAGGGATTCAAAAACACAAGAAGGTGTGTGAAAATGTTTTGCACGCGGGTCCTCGTGATGTGTACTGCAAAAAAGAGAGGGAGAGAGAGGAAATGGCACTTGGACAGTGAACGCTAAAGCAAAACGTGGTGCACAGGTCAATCTCCGTGAGTTATTAAGTCCTGAAGAGTTTGGAGAAGCTAAAAGCAACGAAATCGGCTCTTATAACTTATATCGAACGTGTTGCTGTGGACATTTGCAATCTTCAACTCTTCATGGCATTGACAAAGAAAGGGTTCTAGCTATGAGCTGGGCGTTAGTTTCGACACCAATCACTGACGAGTCAGGGACACTTCTATAGTGGCCGGAAAACGAAGGCAAAAAAGTTATTCATCAAAAGGCTTTCAGGATCCTGATCTTCTTCGCATCAATAGTAACTCACCCACAGTTTCGACTCTGGGACGGAATCTGTCGACTTCGTCTGAAACCAGCCATTTTGGATGGGAAACTGTTTCTCGGAGACGTCAAAACGGTCTTTTTAAACAGAGACGACACGGAACTGCCTCGCATTATTTTTGGTGACCCTCCAGAAGATGTGAAGACTTATCTTGACATGTCAAGAGATCAAGGTTTCAGAATCAGAAAAGCTATCAATGGACTGTTGAATGCTCCAAAACAGTGGCTGAACAAACTGGCCAAGGAACTTAGTAAACAAGGGTGGAAACTGTGTGTTCTTGAACCTTGAATTTGGCGGTTATTTAGTGAAGGTAAAGTGGTTGGTTTGTTGGGTGTTCATGTGGATGATGTCCTTGTTTCTCGTTCTAGTCAGGTTTATGAAGCCAAAATCACAGAGCTGCGAAAGACCTTTCCCTTTGGTAGCTGGAACAGTGCACCAAAAGAAAAGACCGTGTTCTGTGGAGGTGAACTCTCTCAAAAGAGCAGTGGAGAAATCAACTTGAAACTTGAAACAAGAAAAATATGGTCTTGGTTTGAACGGAGTGAACATGACTAACGAAAAACGAAGTGAACATGACTAAAGAAAGTCAGAAATTGAAAGCGAAGCTACTGACAAAGAAAAACATGAAATGAAAGGACTTCTCGGAGGACGCGCTTGGAGAGCGAATCAAACAGCACCCTGGCTTTGTGCTTCCACGTCCATTCTCCAAGGACACAATCGCTCTGCTACAGTGAAGGAGGCTTCGCGAGCCAAAAACTTTGTATTACAAAGGGCCACGGCTGAAGTAGGGTTAACGTTCCCTTATGACATCAGAGATCCCATGATTCTTTCCTTTACGGAAGCTAGTCATGCAAACGGTCATGGTGCGTGTCGGCCGGTCTTGCAAACAGAGCGGACGCTTCTTCTCAAGGGGGATCGATCATCATGTTGACTGACCGGAAGATTTTCGACGGACAGACTGCCCCTTTTTCAATTGTTAGCTGGCACAGTAGAAAGTTAAGACGACATGCTGGGAGTTCCACCTGTGTGAAAGTTTAGGAATATGCAAGCACATACGGCGAAGTTGAGGTTGTGAAACAGGTGATGTATGAGATCCTCCACGAACAAGGTATCAAGGCCAGAAATTCAGTCGAACGCATTGCAAGTATCCCAGCTGCAGTGGTTTGTGACGCCAAACTCCTGTACGACTCCGTCAAAAGGGTTGTGTCATTGGGTTTACCAATGGAAAAAACGTTTATGTCTGGAAAGTTTGAACATCAAAGAATGAGCGGAAACCACGAATACTGAATTGAAATGGAGCGCTTCGGATCAACAAAGAGCTGACGATCTTACGAAAATGCTTGAAGTGGACAAACTTTTGGGAACAATTTATTTAGGTGCATATTCTCTATCTCTGTTGTTCCAACCAGTATACGGAAAAAAGTTGAAAAAATTGTAAAATTATCAAATGGGAACAAAAGAAAGAGAAAACAATCCTGCAAAATGGCGCCGACACAAATCTAGGAAACCATAATTTTAAAATGGTGAGTCCGTGAATGCATTTGTCCACTCATGACATTCCATATTCCAAGCATACACGCAGCTGCATGCAACTCAATTGTTTGACCATAGCTCTTAAGTTATAACGCATGAAACTACAATATCTACTGCAATGCCTTTGGAACTGTCAACCAGCCTATTTTACATCTTAACTGTTGTTTTTCAACCCAACTCCGCAAACAACTCGATAACAGGTTCCCAGAACGGTTCTGAAACTCTTCAGAACTACTTAGAACTATTTATAACTATATATATTGAACTAGTGGGATTGCGGAACTTATCTGTTTAAAGCAAAGGAGAAGTTATAGGTAGCTAGATGTTATTGTTGTAACTATCAGTTAGCATAGTCATAAGTCATCAACTTGGCAAAAAGTGAGGTTTAGCAACTGCTTGGTCTGGAAAAAGTTGTCACGTCCAAGGTCCATCGTCCATAGGCGTGGGAAGTCCCAAGAACTCAGATTGTTCAGAAACCTTCATACATAACCATTCATGGCCTTCGTTCTTGCATAATTACTGAGTGTCATTCAATGTCGAGCCTAAACAATTGCCTCCTCTTATCTTTGGGAGTTTCTGTGAATGGTCCAGGTCCAAGGTGTTTTTTGATCTTCAACAACGTCTTGCGTTGAGCAGTGTGGCAGCTTAAAAATCATCCTGCACGGAAGGAAGAAGTGTGAATCAGAAACGAACGAAGGAAAAGAACGTAGCCTGCGGCTGCCTATAAGGAAAACATGAGACACATGAAAAATAGGCTGGACAACAGCAAAAAGCAAAATTTGAAAAAAGGGTGGCAACAGAACCGTTCTGGAACCGTTCTGCGGAGCACCACAAGCCCAAAATATGCTAATTGTTGGCTGTCTTCAAAATCGAGGAATATAGCCGGAAAAACGAACACGGGGTAAAAAGCGCGTGCCACTGAAGTGGGCAACAAATCAGAATCAAGGTGCCGGAGCATTTGTCGGGAAAGTCAGGAATCAAAAATCAATTGGTGGAACGCTTGGAAGTGCTGTCAAGCTTTTGAAAAGTTGAAAGCCTTCTCGATGGTGGTCGTCGTGGTGGTGGGTTAAATCTAATTCACAGTAGATAGTTCAACATTCCAATTCTCAGGTGTAGATTAACTGCAAGTCACTAGCGTGGTAGAATTTTTCAATTGGTGACCACAAGCCATAAACTTATAAACAGGTCAAACATGATAGCGCTTGACCAGTGCACGGTCGACCTCGCCAAGTTGGTTTGAGTCTGAGTAGAACTTGTCTTCTGAACTATTTGATTGGTTGTTGGGATTTTGAAACTGCCCAGCCTACTTCTTATATACTTCACTTCATTTGCAGGGCAGATTTGTCCACAATTTGAAGTGAGTATTGTGTCCGCGTGGCCGATGTTTTCCAAGTAGTAAATGACTCATAAAGATTGATAGAGAAAAAGGTTGAGTGGATGATTTCACACCTACTATGTCAACACATGGTCAACCCGGTCAACCCTCAGGACATCGAATGAACCACGCCGACGTAGTTGTTGCACCGCAGTAGCGGACCTGACAAACTAGCCCAGGAAAGAGAAGGGGACGACTAAACGCAGAAAATAAGAAGTCCAGTGAGGAAAATGATGCCGAGAAAGAACAATGAATCAAATGCGAAACACAGTGCTTGGCCTCGGCTAGAAGTCTTTTGTTGAAGATAACTGTAAACTGACAGTTTGTAGTACCACGGTTTGATCATAATTTTATTTGATTTGATATCTTATACAAACATCTGCACATCTACCTACAGATCAATGCCATGATATGGTACAGTAAGCTGCGGCTTCAACTTGCAGCGGTTGAAGCTGTTGAAGAGCGTTTCTGAAAGCACTGGGGAACATTGGGGAACTCTAAAAGAATACACAAACATTGACAGTTTGTTTCCCACATGTACTACGTAAACTATGTTTGCCAATCTTCCCCCCAAGGAAGAACACGGTTCTAAAGTTTAAATGGTTCCGTGCATTCAAAACACAAGCCCCTTGATATAGAGGATACATAGCTAAATAAGACACGATTCAAAGAGGTGTTGTTGGCATCTCTTGGGATTCGAGATTCATTTCGGCGAGAGGGAAGCGTCGGGAAAGAAGCAGTGCAAAGTAGTCAGAGGCAATTGGGCATGTTGAGCAAGAAGATAATTTTAGCGATATGGTTTTGAGCCTGTTGTCTCGACATGTTCGTGAGAAAAGTGTAAACGCAAGCGTTGCATTTAAGCAGCACAGTTGAACCACCATCCTTTGTGAGATAGACCAGTGTCTTCCCGCTTCCAATGCAATCGACAACAGTGAAAGGCAAGCAAAAAAATCCTCAAGACATCCAAGCGAAACCCATGCAGAAATTCACCCGGTCACAGCTGGTGTCCTTTCCAGATCGCATCAGCTCGAGCGTCTTCACAATTTCCACAGTTTCGACGTTCCACACATGCGCAATAGCGTCCACCGACATTCCTGTCTGGCCTAGGCAACACAAGCAAAGCAAGCAAAGGTCAAGCAGCCAAGCGCATTCAAGGGACACCTTGACCCCCTATTTCTCTGTGAAAAGAACGAGACGCCACATAGGTCCTGTGGAGTGTCTACCAAATCCATGAAGCATGAACCACGTCAGATCAAAAGGAACATGTTTAAGACGCATATAAAGCGAGAAAGTACACAGGTGTGAATAATGACCTACGGCCAAGATGTGTAAATTCCTGGGAAGGGACACGTGAAATTAACCTTCGTGGCTGTCATGCCCGAATCTGAGACACCCCTGCAACATCCACAGACCGCCAAAATGAGAAACATGAAACCGAAGTGTAAGGCCTAACCAGCTGACTTCATTCTTTGCTGCGCATCAGCGGCACCTCAACCACTTTCTGCTGAGTTGCTCATGCGGAGGATCTTCTCGAAATCCGCTCGGCTGATTCCCTGGCACTGGCAGCGATGGTGAAATCATGTGGCCAAGGGTTTCGATGAATCTCAGCAGTCGTGGTTTGGGTCCTCCACCAGGTCTGTTCAAAAGCTCAAAAAAGAATCCGTAACGTTCCTGTACTTCAAGCGGTGCATGGCATTGTCATGGCGGAAGAGAATAGCCGAATTAATAACTCGACTATTGGGACAACTTGTACTTGCGACGTCTCAAGTAGTCAGCTTGGGCTACTCTACGCCTATACTGGATGAACGTCCTGTATCAAATGCGAAAAACTTTGTTGGCCTGACCTCGGATGTGAAACACCTGTGGTGGCTCCAACACCTCTCCAAGAGCACTGACACCAGTTTCTCACAAGGCGTATTCAGTCGTGGTACTCCAACCGTCAGTGTGGGCACACTGCTGGCTTCGAAGCATCGAACGTCTCATATGTGATGCGACTTACAAGAACTCCGGAATGATTCTGGGACTCCCTTGCGTAGTATGCACGGCTAACATGTACAAGTCGGAAGTTGACCTGTTTGTTCGACAGAGCTGTACCGGCAAGATGTTTGTACCACAAGGGGCAGGGCGATGATGCTGTGTACTGCATGGACGAAGCACAGGTGTTGCGTTTTCAGACTCTACTGGGATCATACCGCCAGAATAGGAGCACGGTTGGTGTCTCCCAGCCGAAGGTCACGTTTTTTGGAGACAGACAAGCCCCTGACCGACGGTTGTGCTGGAAGAGGTTCTGAATTTGAACCTCAGAGCATCTACCAGTACACACCTTTGAGCAGTGGCCATCCGCCTTCAAATGTTCCGTTCTTTCGTCCAAGGTCCGCTTCAGGGAATCCAAGCAACAAACGTGGCGGAATCTGACAAAATCCGACAGAGAGAAACAGGCTGAGCAAGGTCATTGCAAAACCTGGATTTTCTAACAGCTTCAGAAAGACGTTTCGAAGCAGAAGCCTGTGACAACCAGTAAGCCAGTAAGCCTATTTTTGTGAGGACGATTTTCCACCTGAGTTTTTGACCGAAGCAGGACAAAACGTTGGGTCGAAACTAGCCGTAGAGCGGACCAAACTTACAGCTTGAGAAGCGCCAAAAGACCGGCTCACTAAAGTCACGCATCTGCAATCCTTTGCAGCTGGAAAAAAGGTTCACCTTCTCACAGTCCCTTCTGAGATTTAGTACTAATCTGGAAGCAGATGCTAATAAAGCAACTAATTGAAAATGGTTTGCTCGAAACTATTTCGTTCTTTCGGAAGATCCTCGTGGACCGCTACGCACGCCACTCTACACCGAGCCAGCCGATCCGGCCCCCTGGTGGACACCTTCTCCGGCGATGTCGACGGTGCCGATGGCTCACAGCCGGGCTCCTGCCATCGGTCTAGAAGCTGGAACAAAGTGATTTGGGCTGAATTGGGGTGGGAGGTGAATGCAGTTTTCTTCCAACTCCCCAACACCAACATAGGAAATCGCAGGATCTGCTCTATCATGCGAGGGTGTTTGCAGTGTTTGCTGCACATGGTAATCCATGGATTACGGTGGATAGGTGACAAACTCACTTGGTCTCGAAGTTTGGGGTGGGAGGTGAATACAATAGTAATCCAAGCACGCTGTGTCCCCAATACCAATTTAACGCAACGCCAAGAATCCTGTAAACTTGCAAAGAAGATTGCAACATAAGTCCCTCCAACCTACCTAGGAACCCCTATGTGTGACGCATTTATGACTTGTCTTCGGGCCATGTGGCCTGTCCTTAGTTGTTTGAAGAGAAAACCTTTCCTGTCCCCAAAGCACCTCCTCCTCCGCTCGGCGGTCCTCCATTCTTCGCATCTTGGCCGGCCGATCCAGTGGCATCGGGTCCACGAGGTCCTCCACGCTGGGCGTCTCCTGAAACGACCACGTACGGGTCCCCACGGTTTTTTGTTGTCAGGATCTCAAGATGTTCGCATATGTTCGCCTTACCAATACATTTGGTCCAATGAGATCTTCTGTTTTTGCAATATTCCTTACTCCTGGATGTGAAGAAATCCAAAAACCTTTGACACGATCCAGGCCTCCTCCATCTTGCGTCAGAGACTTCTGGAAGGTTCAGGAGACATCCGCTGACAGTCGAAGGAAGTCTAGTTTAGAATGGCTGAGATAGGATGCAAAGAACTGCCAGCACGCACTCCAGAAAGCTTTTACCGCTTACATGAATCAATTTTGCCCTTGACTGTGACTCAGTTGTTCGAAAACAATATAAACAAAGGGTGGATGTTCTTATCTCAATCAGTATCTTTATGGCGCCTGTGGATACTCTCTCTGTGAAGGTCTGCTACTTCCGCCACTTGGGACAAACATGGTACTTGGCAAGCAGGCAACAAATGACACGCAGTCGGCAAAATTGAAACGCAGTTGAAAGAGAATTGACACAGCTTGACGAGTGTTCTGTCGTTTCTTCAACGTTCCCTTCCATGAAAAAGCTGAGATACACACATCAGCCTGAGAAAGACTCCCATCGAAGCTCAACCAATTACATCGTGTTTGAAGGAAGTCCGACCTTCGTTTTAATAGGCCAAATCACCCACAAAAAGGGACCCAAGTCGGAGAATATCCAAAAAGAAAGACCCAAACTGTGACTCTGAGCTCTGTGGCCTCCGCGCTGCGACGCGGCGACATCAACCTGGCGCACGATTCTGTTCAAACAGTTTCGGGGGTCTTCATTGCACCGATGGAGCTGCTGGCTGAGCACAAATGGACATGGACTCGCAGCAAAAGCGAAGAGAAGAAGCAAGAGGAAGCAACCGAAACTGCAAGAACGTCCCCAATTGAAGACGTGTGACTGTTCAAAAAGCCCTACCAACAAGCATGTTTCTCTGATGCCCCGGCGATGCTTTGAGCAAAGCATTGCGTTCATCCGCAGATGAATTATCTCTAAGCAGCTATTTGCACCTTTTGCAGGTCTTGGACCAAAGCACATGGAGTCACAGCGCTTGTGACTGCAATTGACTGACCTGACTAAACGAGTTTTCGAGTTCCACTGATCGGTCTGAGGGCTCGGCCGACCATGGAAACACCCCACCAGCTTCAAAGCTGAAGACATGCCAAGCATGTCCCTAAACCCACGCTCAATACTGGCTACATCCACTTTGCAGCAGGCGCCCCCTGCGCGGCCTGGGATGTTTGCTCTTCAGGAGCCCGGAGCGACCAAACGCAAGGAGGACCCGGCGCGGCGGACGCTCAGCAGATGGAAGGCGATGCCCGAAGCGAGGTTGGAAATCGGGATTGCTTTCCCCCAACCACGATTTAGCGGATCACCTCCATCCGCGTTTTGTTGAAAATCCCACTCCAGAGTGTTTTCCCAGCTGCCCGCTTGAAATCTCCACTTCACCCAGACGGGCTCGCTGACCCAAAGAAACAGAGACGCCTTGTCTGGCGAAGCCTTGGGGCGCAAGTCGAGCCAGGCCTCGACGCCGGACGCCCCGAGCTGGAACTTCTCGCTGAGCTGCTGCTGATCTTCGGTGAAGTTGGTGAAGTTGTAGCCCGACAAATCCCACGTAAACTGCCACACAGGAGGTTTGATGGCTCGCTGAGCCTTCTCGAGCTCATGGCATCTGTTGCTGAGTTGCTTCCGCTGCGCCTCTTCAGCCTTCTGGCTTTGCTTGCGCTGCGCCTCTTGAGCCTTCTGCAGCTGTTTGTATTTGTCTAAAAGCTCGGTGTATTTCTCATTGAGACCAGTAGACCTTTTGTCCAAATCCTGGCACTTGGAATCCAAGCCTTTACACTTGCCCACGATGCTTCCAAGAAGGTTGCACAACATCAAGGATGCCTCGTCGTTGGTGCGGTCTAGATAGTGCGCAAAGGCGATGGCTCCATGAGATTCATCTTCCTTCCCATCTGCAGAGAAGGTTTCCGCAGCAGCAACAGCTACGCGAGCTCCATCTGCTCGTCGATCGCCCTTTTTGAGCATTTCTGCAAGAAGGATGAGCTGCGGACCACACAAACTCTTGAGACTCTCTTGCTGAAGGGATAGTTTGGACATCACTTCGGCAGGAATTTCCTCTTCCCTCTCCAAATGTAGCTTCAGGAGCAACCCTTCCAAATGTTTGCCGTCATCAGTTGTGCGCTGGCGCAGCATACATCGACTAAGCTGCTTCGACAGAGCGAAACGCACCTCGGCATCAGAATCATTCAACTCATGTGCTTTCACCAACAGTTCAAGCTTCTCCTCATCTTTGTCGTCATCCACAAGCGAGGCCAGAGCGGCAAAGATGGAAGCCGAACTCTGTGGGGGCCACTTCTCTAAGCTGGAAATGCCAAGGTCAGAGTCGAAAAACTTTTTTGCCAAACTTGCGGCAAACTCTTGGTTGCACAGGAAACCGCAAGCATGGCGGAGCAGCTTGACATCAAGCCGTTCCATTTGCACTGTCAACATGCGGCTGAAAGCTGCCAGCACCAAAGATGCTGCTTCCACCCAGGATTCTTGTGCATTTGTTGCCTGATGTTGGTGAAGGAAATCCCACAGGTAATTCAAGCGCTCGCCCTGCTCATCTGCACCTGTGGAGCTTGCGATTCTGCGAGCAAGCTCCTTGCAGACCAAGATCTTGCAAGGCGCAGGTACGCTCAGGGTTTTCATGAAACCTTCGTCTGCTTGAGAAAGCAACCATAGGACTTCTTGCTCATCCATGTCAGCCACCAACTCCTGAAGTTCTGAGGTGTCTCTAGTTTCTAGAAGGATCGGCATCAGCTCTTCCATGACCGCACCACGATTTCCCGGCTGCATCCGCTTTCCCCGAAGGAGCAACAATGAAGCCAGCTTTCTTTTCGCAGACCTATCTTGCAAAGAAGAACGCACAAACTGCTCACCTCTTGAAAGCAAGTTGAATACGTCATCAATAGTTACTTGAGAGGCCACAGACAGAATCTCTTGAATTGTTTTCTCCTTGTACGCGATAACCGCTGACTTCATGTGCTGGCTTGGGTTGAGCACCTACAGGTGTCAAAAGACCACTCTTTACCAATGTCAGCATCAAGTCAAGTCCTTCTTTAAAGTTTCCACTCTAAAAACAACGGGTATTCGCGAGGGCGAACTGTAGCCGGCTCTAGCACAAACATGAAATCTGTGTGAGTGCGTGCACAAAGCGACGCGCCCTATCATAGCCTTATCTCGTGACTAGCTGCGGCAGACTTTGAAATCAGGTCCAGCATATTGAGCATTCCACTGCATATGACGTCGTGAAGGATTTACCCCAATGTGCCGGAAGGAAACACGCAACATAGCCACCAATGTGCACCTACTCTATGAGTAAGGGGCTGAGTTGAAGAGTGACTCATCGAATCATGGACCACAAGTGAGTGCACCAAGCGACGCACCATGCGGCATTCTGTCTTGCAATTTGTATGTTCAGCACTTAACCAACCGAATACTAATCCCCTCCTATTCTCCCAAAAGCGTCGGTTGCAAGTGCAGCGCGCCAATGCGCCCCCAAACGATGTCTGTATCAGCTTCGGTCGTGCTACAGTACCCACAACCCATCCCATGGTTTAAACCTCCGAGTGTTCATCAACTAATTAATTACCACATATTACCACCCCGTCATCTCATTTTAACCCAACCAATCGCCAAAAAGAAATCCAAATATATTACAAAGTTCATCCACAGCACCTTTGACTTCATGATCAGTCCTGTTGATGGACTTTTTGCATTCGCGCTCTGTTGAAGCCAATCCTTGATGCAGGACCTGTCGTAGTGGAACCCGTCGGCTGCAACCACCGGATCTTCCATCAACGCGTGAGAAATGGGACAACAAAGGTCAGGAGGATCCACCATGAGACGCTTCACCTGTCAATGCAGGCAGTCAGCTGTTAGTCAGATGTTACCTCTCTCAGAGCAACTAGAAATCACTGTGGACTTGCTGCTCACACTCGCACAGAGGCACAGAGGCACAGACACACTGCAAGCGAGTTGCCAATGAGGTGAGGCCATGTTCGCCCACTTGCCCACCGGTGTGACTGTCCTGCATCCAAACGAGATAGACGAGATCGTGTGTTCAACTGTGCACCTAACGATGTATTGAGGCCAACCTATGGCAAACACGGCAAAATGTGTTGAAGCCTTTCCTGATGACCCAGGTGGTCAAAATGCTTGGCATTGTATGCCTCAAAACTAACCAAAGGCAAATAAAAGACACCTAAGAAGCAAATCTCTTCGCAAACGAAAGTCCCGGAAGCTTCGTGACACTCCGTCACAAGCCCTCTCGGCTCCAGAGGCATCCCAGTGGAATCCAGTGGAAATGGTGGCTGGTCCTGTGCACCACACTGCATCAGCTCAAGAGTCTTCATGATTTCTGCAGCTTCCACATTCAACACATCCGCAATCGTCTCAGGGGATAAACCTTTCTGACCTCAGGAATGAAGGCGACAAACAAATCCAAAAGAAACCAAAAACATCGAAAGCGCGCAACCTGGTAGCTGAGTTTCTTTCTCGCTTATACAAGCGCTGGGGTTTAGTCACCCAGCAGAATAAGAGGATGACAAAAGCTTGCTCGATAGTGTCAATACTTCAACCAATGTCCAAATCCTGTACAAACGCAGAAAGCTGATTACAATCCGGCTCGGGTCTTAATATGATTTTAGAACATGCCAAATAAGCTTTAACAAATGAACAAGACAAGTCTGCTAGCAAAACTGCTTGACTGGAAGCAAAAGGAACTAAAGCCTGCACTGCTCCTTGCATGTGAAAACCGTTTTTCAAAGCCATACAAATGCTCAGAGAAAACATCGGCCAGCTACGGTTGTTTCAAACTTAACCGCTCAACAAATAATTGAGCAACACGCACAGCCTATCTTCTTGTTCTGAAGTCCCCAAAGCCAATGAAAATGAATATGATATCTGCTTGTCTACTCAAGAAACAGTTGCTGCGATGTTCCATGCTGAGACAACCCTGCAAAACATCGCCAAAATTGGAGACCTGGGGCACAAGTGCTCATCGTACACAGCAATTCAGCCCAGTTGCTCATGCGGAGGATCATCTTCTCGGAATCTCGGCTAATCCCCTGCGGCAGTACTAGCGCACAGCCGTGGCTGTTTGGTTTGGGGCAAGAGGCTCGTCTAGGCCCGAGCTATCCATCTACAACACTCTACATCTACACCTCGGTTCAAAAAGCGTTGGAAATCACGAACGCAACAGACCTTTGCCCACGACTTCTTCAGTAAGGACCTTGCTAACCGCTACGCCCCTCGCGCTTAGCCCCACCCGCTGGTGACACCTTCGCCGGCGACCCTGATGGTACTGATGGAGCTGATGGCTCGCCGCCGGGCTCCTGGGGTCAGTCTCAAAGCAAGAAACAATGATTTGGGTGGAGAGGTGGTACAATACTTCCACCGAAAAGGATGGGACAAAGACAAGCATTCGTTCCCCAACTTGTTTGCAGGAACTATGACCCAAGATGTTGTGCTTGCCTTTCAGCAGGGCCTTTCCCTGATTCGCTACAGTGCTTTACAAACTTTTGTAAACAAGTTCTCAGGAAACGCGTGCTCGAAAAAGTTTTGGGAAACGCATGAGGACCCGAAACCGGATGCTAGTTGCGAGAAGAATGGAAGTCGCTGATCCGTTCCGTCCCTCCAAACCTAAGTCGTGTACATCTTCTGAAGCAAATGTGGCTCATTTGGTTGCGTTTTGCTGTTTCGGTCCCCAAAGCACCTCCTCCTCCGCTTCGCCAGTCCTCCACTTTGCGCATCTTCGCCGGCCGGTCCACGAGATCCTCCACGGTGGGCGTCTCCTGAAACGACCACGTACGGGTCCCCACGGATGTTTGTTGTCGTCAGGATCCTAAAAGATCTTCACCCCGGACGTCGGTACTTTTGAGTGTGGCATCAGGGTTTCGAGATCTCCTTGGTCACCCAACCCTTAATGTTTAGCCACATGAGATGTTTGATGAAATTGTTTTTGCAGTTGCTCTTACCCCGGATGTGAAGAAACCCAACAATGTGGTCGATGGTATCTCATGTAGGTCATGCCAAGCAAAACACATCTCGACTTCATTCTGCAAGCCCAGGAGTTCTTCTCTCTACCTGTCCTACCTCCCCACAGCCAGTCCTCCGCCTCCTGCACATGCGTTGGACCCTGCAACAGCAGCACAGGTGACGGGTCACAAGGTACAAGCACCAACCCGCCCGCCCACCCCACCTCAGGCCCTGTACACATTCCTTCATCGGACATCCAAGCATCCCTCCATCTGAGCTTAGTCTAATTCCAAGGACCATCACCTTTGATGCCCCACGCCTCCTCCATCTTCCGTCAAAGCTCCGGATCTCCACCGCAGTTTGAAGGAGCTCCAAAATGGTTTCGAAAGGAATCACAAAATCCAAGACCAACAAAGCACGACAAAACATTCTGTTCCAGTCTGATTGAATATTCAAAAAACTTTAGTCCGCACGCTTTCTCTAGAGATGCTGTTCCCTTGCAGCAGCTACCTCTCAAAGAACCAGCCTCCAAGCCAGCTGCGAATGCCCACCTGGACAGAATGGAGACTCAAGTGCGTAAATATGTGTGAAAACCGACTTACATAGATGCGACAGCTGGCGCAATTAACAGAAAACTGGATTCAATTTTCTCATGAAACTACCTTGAAGGGAAGTTGCAAAATGCTTGCGCAACTTGACACTGTTCAGCTATCAAAAAATGTTCGGATGGGCTCTATAGACACATAGTTTGCTGCAAGGCCACACTTCATCTCAATCTTCTCCTTCTGCGTCTTCTTTGTCTGCTTCTTCTTACTGTTGTTATTGTTATTATGTGTGAGTGGTGGCAGAGCTCAAGCTTCAGCGGATCGGACAAAATGCTTTTTCCATGGCTTGAACGGGTGAAAGGATCCAGTTCTCAGGGCCCCTGTGGTTCGAGGCGGCGAGGTGTCACATGGCAGGAGTCAAAGGGTGGTTGCATCGATCAACATGTATTGACAGCTCCCCAAAATAAGTTTTGACTCCTGCTCGGAGCTTTGCATTGGAACCTCCGTTCTCTCTGTGGTCGAGTCGCTTCTTCAAGCGATCTGCCTCAGCTGAGATGCTGAATTCTCCTTTCTCGAGGAGATCTATCAGCGGCTGGCATGAACCCTTCACTTTGGTGAGAGGGTCTGCGATCATGGCAGGATGATCGACCCAGCGGATCTCACCTTGGAGTTGCTGAAGGTCTTGCCTTATGATTTGAATTTCTATGGCTGTACGTTTGTCTTGTCCTCCTATGGTCCCCCGGCTCAGGTAGTCATACAGACTCTTCGCGTCCACGATCGCGAGGCACTCTCTGAGGCATCCACTGTCGTCCTTGGCTAGGGCCACCGTTCTTTCCTTGGACATGGTTGAGGCCCATTCGCGCATGTTGAACTTCTCGATCTCCAGCTCTTTAAAGAGCACCTTCATCCAAAGGAGATCTCCTAGTCCTCTTGCTAGGCTCTGGGTTTCGGCAGCCAAGGTCGAATTGACCACTCTCTGCAGTTTCCCGCTTCGCCACCATATGAGGTTGGCCTTCACCGCTTTTCCTTCTTTGAGCCCTGGTTCGTGGGCTACGATCATCTGTCCTCCTTGGGAGTGGAACTCGTCGTTGGCGAAGGAGGCGTCAGTGACCACTGCTAGCTGCATTTCTTTGAGTGGTTGGATCTTCGTGGCCATTTGAGAATTCTTCTTGAGGTTCCTGACCACTTTGTTGAGCAGGTAAAGGTCTTCAACTTTCATCCTGGTGAGCCTTGATGACATCAAGCTCGATGGACCTGCTGCATCGGGTCTTCCTTCCTTGGACAGCCAGTTCAATGAGCCACAAATGGCTCTTGCTTGGCTTCTTTCTTCCTCTGTCACGCTTTCCTTCCTTTGGCTTCTTTGCTCTGGGGCTATCTTCATTTCCTCCAGTCGTTCCTCCACAAACTTCTGCATGTCGATGTGGAGGGTTCCTTGCTCATCATGCCGGAGTCTTTTTCCATTGAAGCTTGCTCCTTGCTCTTCTTTCTTGAGGTCTATCCATTTGCCAAATTTGAATTGGCTCCTCAATTCTTTCATCTTTTCCACAAAGACTCCTTTTCCGCACGACAAAATGTCGTCTACTTCAATTGCCAGCATGCCAGTGAGCTCGTGGTTGTCATAGAGCTTGTAGATGCAAGGGTCAAGAGAGCTTTCCTTGAACCCCATCTTCTTCAAGGCTCCCACTAGCGTTCTTCTCCAATGCAAGGGTGCATCGGCCAATCCGTAACATCCAGCAATGATCAGGCAGATCTGTTCTGGATGGAGTCCTGCGATCCCTTCTGCAGGCTGTTTGAAGTATAGAGGTCCTTTCTCTCTTTTCAGTGGGGAACTTTGGCAAAATGCACTCTGCAGATCTCCCACTGCTGTCTCCATCCCTTTGTTCACGGCTAGTTGGAGCATCACGTTCAGGTTCATCGTGCTCACTGTTGGGCTGAATCTCTCCAGGTCGAGGATGTCCGGGTCTTTGTCTCCTCTGATACAGAGTCGGCTTTTCTTCGTTGGAGCTTGACCTGGTTGCTCTGAAGGTTTGTACCTCCTGGCCATTCGAGAAGGTAGTATTCTGTCTGCCTTCCCTTCTTCCGTGAGTTTCTTTACAATGCTCCTCGACTCTTCTAGGTCAAGGACCTGGATGGCTTTGCTCATGTGGATCTTGCTGAACTCTGACGCGTCAGCAACCTTCCACTCTTCGAGGTCTGTTGGACTCTCTTTCCTCAGATCGACTTCTTGGCTTAGGTTGCCTCCTCCTTGTGTCTTCTCCACCTGCCACACTTCGATCCTCTCTGGTTCCTCCTCCATGAGAATCATCTTGAACTCCGTGCTTCCTTTCCACCAGAATGTCTGTGGAATTCTTCCTCCCTTTGGCAGGCTCCTCCATTCTTCGTCCTCTTCTTCTTGAGGTTCTTCCTTTTCGTTTATCCAGCGGGTGATTCTTTTTCCAAAGCATCTTGCTGGTATTGGGAGGTCTTGCATTCCTTGAGGGCTGAATTTGGCCTTCCTTCGGTTGACGTGATGTCTCACTATCTTCTTTTCCTTGAAGTCGATCTCCCAGAAGTCCTTCTTACTTCCTTTTGCCAGTCCTTGCAGGTCCTTCTTGCGAAGTATCCAGAAGTCTTCGTCTTCTTCTTCCAACCGGCTTGACAGGAACCATTCTTGAAAGTATGGGTTGACTGAGCTTCTGTCGGGCTTCCATCTGAGAGGTCCAGAGATGGGTGGCAACCCGTCCAGTGCCCTCGCTCTTTGATGGATTCCTGTAGGCTTCTCTGGTAGCCTTCATCTTCTTCTTCCTTCTTCTTCTTTCGAGAAGCGTCCTCCTCTTGTTCTTCTCTTTTTCTTTGCTGACTCCTGGTTTCATCTTCTTCTCTTTCTTCTTCAGGCTCATCCTCCCACGAGCTTGGTGCCCTGTCCCTTGGACTTCGGCTTCTACTTCTTGGCGTCGTGATGGGCTCCGTCGGGGTGTAGCCTTCCTCTTCTACTTCTTCTTCTTCGACTCTTCTTCTCTTGGCTTCAAGGTCTTCTCCCTCTTCTTTCAATCCTCCTTCTTCATCTTCGTCGTCTTCTGGCCATCTCTCTCCTCTCAAGTCTTTATAGCCTTTCCTGTGGGATGATCTTTTGAACTCTTCGACCAGCTCCTTACAGCTCCTCATCACTTCTTCGATGCCCTGCTTCTCCACATTGGTGGCTGGTCTGCATTGCTCTCTGGCGACTCTCCATAGTTCTCCGTACATGGAAACCCAGAGACTAGCCCCGTCGACGGCAATGACTGTCCCGGGGCCTATCCAAGTGGCTTTGTTCGGGCTTCTTTCATGGCTTGGCTGACCTCCTTCATGTTTCCTCTTCTTCTGTCTGGGCACTCGGTAGACGAAGACGTAGTCTCCTGCTGTGAATTCTTGTGGCGCCCTGGTTCTTCCTCTTTCAACCCTTTTCAGGGCTTCTTTGGCATTGTGCTCCACGAACGCCTTCTGCGCAAGCCTCCTCATCTCGTGAAGTCTTTCCATGTCGTCCACCACCGCTCCGTTCATCAGCCCGGGATCTATCACATCGTCTCCCAAGAGCGAACTTGGGACTCTGGGCCATTGCCCAATCTGCCGCTGCACCGGAGAGAAGCCGCTCCTGTTGCTGAACCTGTTCTTCGTCATCTCAACTTCTTGCATGAGCAGCTCTAACTCTTCTTTTGACGTGATCACTGCTTCTTCTCTTGCTTTCTCTAGGAGCTCCTTGAAGTGTTGTCCATGTCGTTCAGTACGGCCGTTCTGCCAAGGAGCCTTTGCTGCGATAGTCTGAGTCACTATCCCATGCGAAGCGGCCATTTGCATCAACTGGGAAGAGAATTCTCTTCCAGCGTCGGTGACTAACACCTCAGGCAGCCCGAAGGTGCTGATAGTTGCTTCCCCAGTCTACCGTTGACAAGGCTGGAAACAGCCTTCCTCCTCCAACTTCCGGCAGGAATATCAGGTCCAACCCAAGAACCCGACATGGTTAATAGGTCCTTGGTATGGCCGCTGGTCGATTTGCCTTTGGCTTTGGCTTGGCCTCACAGGCGGGACATTGAAACTCTTTGTAAGCCCATCGGACCAGTTCTCCTCGAATTCGAGCCGCTCTCATGAACCTTACGAACTCGTTCTTCTGGGGATGTCCCAGTCCTTTGTGCAGCTTGAGGATGGACTTCTTCTCTTCTTGGGTGACTGAGTATTGGGGTTCTTCTTCCCCTCTCATCTTCCTCCTCTCTTCTGCTTCCATCTCTTGGTCTAGTGCTTCTTCAAGTCCCTTCTCTTCATCATCTTCTGGTTCTTCTTCTTCTTCTTCAGCGGCTAGCACCGAGAGGATCTCCTCTTCATGCCCACCATCCTTCTTTAGCTGCTTCTTCAAACCTTGGATCACCGCTTTGCAGAAGTCATGCGGGTACTCCTGGGCTTTCACTGGAAGTCCGCACATAGTGGGAACGTGGAAATGAGTCCTGTCGCACTTTCTCTCCACTGCCCTTTTTATCTCCTCGGAGTTCAACATGAGCTTCGTGGCTTCTTGTTCAATCCTCCTCCAGAGACATTCAGTCCGAACATACACATGTCCGTGATGGCTGTGAGAACGCCCGGCATGTTTTCCACCTTCTGGACGCATGGCTCTTTCCATGAAAGTGCGGAAGCTGGGTGCTCGAACATGAAGTACTTTCCTCTTTTGCGCTGCCATTTGGCCAATTCCATGGCTAGTTCAAGATGCTCCACGCCCGTGCTCAAAAGCATCCACGCCTTGCCCCAGCCCATCTTCGGGTAGTTGAGGTGCTGCAGGATGGAGAAGGCCACACATGGCGGGCAAATGATCAGCAGCTCTGGCTGTTCTGCTTCTAGCTTCTTCCACATTTCTTTCTTTTGGGCTGGGTTTGACAGATCCCAACCTGTCTTGAGGTCGAAGGACGTGCCTGGCTTCATTCCTTGGCGTTCGGCTTCCTTGGCTATCCTTGGAGGTGAGAACACTTCGCTCACGGTTTGGAGGCCTTTCATAACTTGCTTCCTCTGTCGTTGATTGAGCTGGGTCTCCTTCTCTACGCCGAACTCATCTTCAAGTTTCGCCTGGCTGGACAGCCAGGCTTGAATCCTCACTGTTCGCTCTTCTCTCAAAGGCACAAGTCCTTCTTCTTCCTTCCACTCCTTCTCTGCGACCTTGACCTGGAACTTCAGTGCTGCTTTCAAATGTGGCACTTGTCCAGCTTGGATCTTACGAAGCGTCCTTCTAGCCATTGTGTTCTCGGCCGGCATCCACGGGCCGTCATCTTCTTCTAGTCGTCGTCCGGGATCTGCACCGTTTCTGCTGCTGCAAACCTCTGCTTCTCCGTCCTTGGGCTTTTGCTCCTCCTCCTCGCTCCTTCTCCTGGGACTTCTCCCTCGGACTTCACTAGGGCGAAGCTCATCTCCGTGGGAGGCTTCACTTGATGGGTGATCGTCTTCCCCCACTCGAAGAACTCGCATTGTCCGAAGCGGCATGTCCAGAACTGTCGTTCTTCCGGTCGGTCTTCCAGCATCCTCCTGAGCTTTATGGCCAAGGTGCCGCAGTGGCACAGTCGGTCCTCCTCCCATGGTCTTTCTATCTTCGGAGGGCTCTCTTTCTCTTCTTCGTTCTTCTTCATGACCGAGTGGAACATGGCCTCCATCTTGATCTCCTTTTCTGTTGCAGCTCCTTCCACATGGCTTCCTGCTCGGCTTGATTCTCCTCCTTTTCCTGGTTCAGGTACTTCTGCAGCTCCAATATGACCTTCTCCGTAGGAGCTGAGGCACTGGATGTTGTCGAGGAGGTCTCTCCGCCCATCTTCTTCTTCATCTCTTCTTTGACATTCGCCATTGGACTTTGGCTCAAGAGGCCCTTCTTGTTCTTCTTCAAGTCTTCTTTGATCTCGGTGGCCGTCAGCGGGGACTCCCAACGGGAGTGGCACATCTTGCACATGATGTACGAGGCACTCTTGTTCCCGCCGCCCCTGAGCTGAGCTTTCGGATGAATGCATGAACTGGCGGCCGTAGTCGGTGCCTCCTTGGACTTCAGTGGAGTCAGCGGCTTCGCTTTGGTGATGATCTCGCTGTAGATGGCCTCCAGAGAGTCCCCGTCCTGCCTTGAGGGCGGCGCAAATGGCCCCGAAGGTGATTGCGCGGGGAACCACTCTTGCACGATGCTTTGGCGCTCGACGAAGGCCAGCATCACGAAGATCTTGTCGAGCATGACTCTCCAGTTCCTGATGGCGAGTTTTGGACGCCTCGCCTGACCTTTCATTGTCACATCTTTCTTCTCTTGAGGTGCTCCCAAACTGGCACCCATCAGCTTGCCCATTCGCCCCATCAGGTCGGCCATGATGGTCGGAGGTGGTGACGAGTCTCTCGAAGGTCTGGGCAGCGGCTGATCTGAGTCGATCGAATTGAGCCAGCATGGCTTGAGTGCTTTTCTGAAAAACAAAAATCCTCTCTGCAAAAAGGTGCACTGGCAGGAACTGCAAAGCCGTCAGGTGGGAAGTGCAAGATGTCTATAGTGACATGTCCGCTGGGCGTCTCACTCATGTTCAACTCTAAACCCTCATCTGGCAAAATGAACTTGTACTTGATGAAATCGAGAATGACCTTCATGTGTTTCAACAGCTTAACTGGTAGCAGAAGTGGAACCTCACCCTCGACGACCGTGACCTCGAGCAACCCGCAAATACCTCCGATGCCCAAAGGAATCATAGCTACCCCAACGACTTGAGCTTGACCTCCTATGCCTTTGGCTAAGGACTTCTTGGGAACCCACTTGATTGCTAATCCGTGATCATGTAGGCGATGCTCAAGACGTTGAAGCGCATTGATCCCGACCAGTCCCCCTTCGGCCGCCGTGTCCACGACCCCGACTTCCGAATTCGTGGTGATGCCACAAAACTGGCTGTCGGACGAAGCGGCCTTGTATGCTGAACGAGCGGGTGAGCTTTCTGTGAGACGGAGAGCTTGCTTCCTCTCCTCAACAAACTGCCTCAGCCAAAAGGTTTCCTTGGCGGAACCGGCTGAGTCTCCAGGAAAACATTCGGACGAGTGGGCCAAATCGCCTTCGTCCTGCACTATGAAAAAGCCCGTCTTGGTTGAGGCTGCCGAGGAACCGGCGGGTGCTCCATTGGATTGATGCTTTCCTTTCTCAGAACCTTTGCTGGTGCACTCTCGGCTGAGGTGTCCCAAGGCTCCACAACTCCAGCATCGGGTGCGAAGCTTCAACTGTTCAATGTGCACTCGATGCTTGCCTTTTCCCTTTCCTTTGCTCTGCCCAAAGCCCTTGCCCTTGAAGTTCTCCCGGTTGTAGAAACCTCTGCCGTTTCTTTGGTTCTTCAGGGCGTCTCGGATTTCTCTATAGCTAGCCAAGGCTTCCATCATTTCTTCTTCTGTATAGGCGCCGTCCAGGTCTCCTTCGGCCACGTAGATGAATTCTTCTCCGTCGCCGTCCTCATCTTCAGCCTGGAGGTACGTGTCATTCTCAACAGCGTCATCGATGTCCATCAAGTAGGTGCCCTTGCTGTTGGACTTCTCCTTGACCACCTTATCGAGTTTTCTCAAGGCTTTCACTATGGACATCTTGTCGTACTTGCCATCGCACCACATGAGAAGTCTTTGCTCTTGGGGCTCACTTAGTGAAGCTTGGCGGTACAAAATGTACCCTGTCGCTCCATCAGGCAGCTCCACTCCTTCTTTGGTCAAGCGGCTGAAGGCCTTCTCCATGCGGGCGATGAACTCCGGGAAGCCTTCTGTCGACTGCCTAGGTCTCCCATAGACTGCAGTCTCGAAGGCTCTTGGGAGTGAGACTTCGAGGTGAGGCAAAAAGAACTCTCGAAGTCTTGCCATGATGTTTTTCACACCGTCTTCGTTTGCGATCTCGTCGAAGTCCATCTCCTCCACTGCCAGCTGCGCCATTCCTGACAAAGCCCTCAGAAGCTTGGCCCCCTGCTTCCTTTTGGGAATGTCAGTCTCGAAGCACCATAGACAGACATCGAGAAGAATGTCCGGAAAGTCCCCTCGGGGTCTACCCCGTCATACCCTGGTGGTGGGTCGCGGTCTCGCGGCCCTTCTCTCTCTCTCGAAGTCCTGTCCTGCTCTTTCAGCTGCAGCAGCGGCCGTCGTGAAAGCCCTCGAACTCCTCGGTGGCCTGGTCATGACCTCATCATCCGTCTCGGACCTTGGCACCTTCCTAGATCGTCAACAGCAGGCTCCGCTACCACTGTGAGTGGTGGCAGAGCTCAAGCTTCAGCGGATCGGACAAAATGCTTTTTCCATGGCTTGAACGGGTGAAAGGATCCAGTTCTCAGGGCCCCTGTGGTTCGAGGCGGCGAGGTGTCACATGGCAGGAGTCAAAGGGTGGTTGCATCGATCAACATGTATTGACATTATGTTTTTTCGTACGTATTTCATTGCTATTCTTATTTGTGGTCTTTGTCTTTGTATTTTTCTTCTTTTTCACAAACTGATCCTTGACTCACGTTTCTCATGACAACAGATCCGCAATTGGGGACTGCAATTGACTGACCTGACTAAACGAGATTTCGAGTTCCATTGATCGGTCTGAGGGTTCAGCCCTTGGAACTTAAAACACCCCACAGCTTCAAAGCTGAAGACATGCCAAGCATGTCCCTGAACCCCACTAGCTACGTCCACTTTGCAGCAACCCCCCTGCGCGGCGGACGCTCAGCAGATGGAAGGCGATGCCCGAGGCGAGGTTGGAAAAGGGGATGTCTTTCGGCCAACAAAAAACTGTCTTTCGGCCAACAAAACTGATACAGAGTCTCTTTGGCAAATTCATCCTCCATAGTGGCTTCCCAACTGCCGTATCCAACGTTTACTACCCCCAGAAGAGTACACCCCTGACCCTGAAGGGGTTTCTAGCCACGAAACCCCATCTGGACTGATTGGCTGAAATCCAAAACAACACACACAACACACTGATTGGTGAACGAATCAATTGTGCACCCGGCCTTCGATGTGGAACATCCAAGTGATGTTTCGGGGCACCCGGGCCTGGAGAGCGTCGAAACTCCAGGCCTTCCGAAGGCCCCCCGGTGGGCCGGTGGGCATTGTGTTTTGGGTTCGGACTTTCATGCCGGTCCATGCAAGGTGGAGGGAGGTCTGCCGCCTTGAATGTTCAGCTGCCACCAGGGAACTCCAAACAAAGCATTGCTGTTTTCGACAGTACTTCTGCCTCCTGTCGAACATGCAAGGGGCCGACATCCACGAACTCCGCAAATTTGAATCTATGCTCTGCACGGTATGGAAACCACTGTCCTGGTGGTCCTCATCCAAATCCTAGTGAAAAGTGATGGTTTGGCAAAGCTTCCGCAGCAGAGTATTTGTAAGTATCTTCTGACGCATCTGCAAATCTGTCCTCTACCAGGTCATCTGGCGACGCTGTCTGGCCAGAAACCCTGACATGATTGGTGAGATGGCAACACATGACCTGAAATTGTCTGTGACCCGAATACAGGATCGGTGTGCCTGCCTGCAACTGCTGATCGCTGTTGCGATGCAATCTCCTGACCACTCTTTTAATCACGATTCACGAGCCCGGAGTCGGATTCTTTGTCCTGGAGCGATTCGGAAACCGAATGAGAAAAAACGGACAACTATGCAGGCAACCAGCCTCGTGAAAGAAAAGACCATCTTAAACACAAACAAATGTACAGTCGAAATAACTGAGAGTCGTACAAGAACAAAAGACCCGGACGCACTCCATCACTTCGAATTTTGAAGCCTCACCAACCCAATAGCGACGGCCTCCAACCTAATTAAGAGCGATGGCCTCCAAACTAAGATGCTCTTTTTTCGGTGTAAACAGAAACATAATCTCGATTTATGAAGGGTGGATTCTCAAACAACACCTTGCTTCCTGGGGACCTGAGGTTGGCGTGTCGGCGGAGTCGACGAGGCAAGCCGCAAGCGCGGTGTCGCAGGTTGGATGTCAAAAGTGGACCGTTGGCTGAAGCAGATCTTGAAACCATCCAGAAGAATCACACAGCAGAATTTGTACTAGGAGCATCTTACTAGGAGAATCGGACGCTACTAGGAGCAAGGACGGGCATCGTTACGAACGGAGCGATCGGACGCTGTGGCGGCAAGAAGCTGAGCGAATGAAGCATCTTTAGTTCAAGGGGACTCTCTACGCGTCAAAAACACGTGGAGCGACCGCTTGTGACAGACTAACTTATATCATCTTACATCTAAAAGTCTAAAGCAAGGCTGATTTTTCCACGCTTCAAACAAAGAAATAGGGCACAAATTCATAGAGCAAGCTTGGACGCATGAGCAATCCAGAGCTCGGTCAGCAAAAAGAATCAACATCTCAAATTGTACAAAGCAATCAAAGCTTGAAAGAAGAAACTGCAAGGATGAAACATTATGGGTATCACAAGGTCCAGTGGTTTCCAGTGGCACTCCTGCAAAACGTGGGTATCGTGACATTGACCAGATTCTTTGACCTGGCAGTGCCTTGCGAGGTCTGGAAGCAAACCCTTGAGAAGGAGCTGGGTCTCTGGTGCTCTCAACAACTAGGCCTCCAACCTAAGAGCGCACATCCCTTCACCCAAAGAAATGCCTTCACGTCAAGCGATCAGCTTTTTTTATATCTTTTTTGAGCTTCGCTCGTCTGGTGATGTCCGATTGTTCAGTCTGGACAGCGCGCAGGGGTTCACGCAGCGAAATAAAGCTCGTACACCATAGTTTCTGCATTTCTGTCAAGGTGAACCACTGACTCCCAAGCTCGAAAGACTGACCTCCTAGCACATGCAGCTTGAATTAGAATCGGGCAGCTAGGCACCGAAGGCTGCTGCAGCATCTTATCTCGTGGAGAAGGTGAGGTACACCGAGAGATGCGTGTCAGCCAAGACCGTCTGCCGCAAGCAGTTTTGAGCATCCAATGCCAACTCAGGGCTTTGCATTTCCACCACCCAGCCCCCTTGCACTTCTGCAGCATCCACCATAGCAGGGCCTAGATCCTTGCTGTACGAGACTAGCTCAGTGCAAAGACAGGTCACCAACTCTGTGACATCCTGCAAGCTCCTGTGCCCCACAGGCAAGTTTCCGATGTACAAATGCCGCAACCCTCGCATCATCGGCTGAAGAGCAAACTTGGGAGTAGCTCCTGCAGGGCGAATTCCTGGAGGAGGCCGCGGTGGTAGATGGGTGCTTTCCACGGGAAGAGAAGCATGCATGTCATGCATCGGCATGCCATGGGTCTCCCTCTTTGAACTCAGCATGCCGATCCGATGTAGGACCGACACATCCAGCACTGGCGCAGTAGCACCAGAGTCTCCATCCGGGGGGCTGCAGTATTCGTGAGGGCGACGCAGTTGGACCGCACAACCGCAAATCTCCATGCCATCGAACAAAAGAGCTGTTCGAGCAACAGTCTCATCAAGGACCAGCACGAAGGCATATGGATGTGAGGTATCAAAGCCAGTGATGTTGACGTGCAGCACTGCGCAGGAAGTGAAGCCTGGCCGCAACAGTTGCGAGCAACACAAGCACCAACCTAATCCCCACCCACACCCCTTTATCAATGAATCAGAAGTCAATACGTGAGGCAATCAACTCGCCACACGGTGGGGAGGCGCCATTCGGATGTAAGTCACATTGGAGGCATCACAAGCATTATCAGGATTTGTGCATGCTTGTGTTGGTGAAGAACGTTCTTGAGGGACTATATTCCGATTGTATTCCGTCACAATTTAGGACCCGTCGAAGTTCTGAAATTCATGGCGGTGACAAGTTGAATACTTTCTAGAGTCAGAGTTGGCTCCATACAAATGATCATGCTGCCAGGTTGTACTGAAGACTGCCGAATTCATTGCTCTTCGGCAAATGAGCACAACAATAAACGTAAAGCAAACATACATCATACATCATATATCATACATTTCACTTAAATCCTTAGGTGCGGTGTCAGCCCAGGCAGGCACATCACCGTGAACAGTGGGAATAAGAAAGAAAGAGAACCTATTCTGTGATGTCTTGCTAAAGGAACAAAGGCCCCTCTGTCTGACAATGAACTGCAATATTCCTGACCCCTGGCCTTTCTTGAAGTACATGTGCCTGAAGTCTGGCATAGCACGGAAACGTTGCTCGAAAGCCTGCTGCACATCAATGGCGCTGGTGTCCGAATGTAGCTTTGAACAAACGATGGTCCGGTTCACCTTGTTGTAAGGAAGGCCTGCACGCAAACGAAAATCCCGAGTACACCAAGTGAGTTGCTTCTTCGCATGGGTCTGCCATGATGGAGGAAAGGGCACTTCCAGGTCCAAAGATTCATCTGATGACATTGAGGTGGTGGAAGCAACATCTTCCTCCTTCTCGTCTTTCTTGGAGCTCAAGCTGTCAACCTCTATGGCCTCCTGACTTGCTTCAACAGCTTCCGCACTTGTTGGACGAAACGCTGCTGGAATGCCAATGCACCGCGAACAACAGCAGCCCACCACGCAGGTCTCATTGTTTGGTGCACCACGGGCCTGAGCAAGTTGCTGTGCTTTCTTGCACACCTCAACCTGGTAGTGTGCCATGGCATTGGCCATGACCATGCAACCCATAGCATTGACCCCAACCCAAGGGACAAAGACTGGCCAAACCGGAGTTGGACCTTCGCCAGACGACGAGCGCGAACACCTGGTGTCCAAGGAGGTCTCCCGAGACGTGGAGGTCTCCCGGTGCGAAGGCGGCGACGTCGGGAGGTCGCTCTTGGGACTCGAAGTGCAAAATGGGCGGTGTCTGGGACTCTTGGGACTCTTGGGACTGGGACTCAGACAGGTCAGCCGCGGAAAGGAAGGCTTGAAGGGAGGTGTCTGAGGACTGGACTCTCTTGTTCTGGGCGCCGGTGAATTGGGCGGTGACAAGACTGCCTGTTCGTCGACTCACCAGCTTGGGAACTGCTGGACATGTCCTGGTCTCCGGCTTTCCGGCGCTCTCCATGGCAGACAGCTCAGACAAGGCTTTGGGCAATCAAACAATCGCACTTGTAGAAACCATTCAAGATCTCGCATGAGAGAAGCTGCTTTTATTCCAACTTGAGAATCAAAACTAAATGGTCCGCCAGGTCTGTTGCGCTGCTTGACCAAATCAAGACACCGGCAAAAACGTTTTGAGAATGTCAAGTCAAAGGTCTGGCACGTTTAAAAGCTTTGCACCTAGTAACAAGTGCAACGCTACTAGTAACATGGACGCTACTAGTAGCTAGGGCATCACTACTAGTAACAAGAAGCTTGATTAGGTTGGAGGCCATCGCTATTCGGTGGAGGCCATCGCTAGGGCATTCCTGTACAAAAAACAAACTCACCGGAGCCTTCAGCACAGCGTCGAGTGGAGCATCTCTCGAAACACCTCCACATGTCAAGAATTGCCTTGTGTGAAGTGGGCAACAACCTTGATTAGTAGTAGCGATGCACTTGTTACTAGTACCTTCATCATGAGTGATAGTGACAATAATGGACAAGAGTGACACATAGTGTGAATATTGTACATCCATGTGCAATGAGCATGCAATCACTAGGACATGACAGTTATGCTTCAGCCCGCACACACCTAGCTGTTGACAGCACCAGAGATCCAGCTCTTTCTCAAGGGTTGGAGGCCATCGCCTCTTAGGTTGGAGGCCATCGCTCTGCGTTGGAGGCCATCGCTATTAGGTTGGAGGCCGTTGCCTAAGATGGTTGCGTTGTCACTGGTCCCTGCGTATTTTTGGTTGTGTAAGCCTTCAGCATCCAGGTTTCTAATCCAAGAAATGTGGAGTGGCATGCTGTGAGTGTCGGATGAAAATCTGGAGCTGTCAAAGAACATCTTGAGCCGCGGAAACTCAGCAAATTCGACATCGCCACAAAGCAATCACAATAATCACATATGTAACCTGTGACAGTTGATCAACCCAGCTGTCGTGTTGTGAAACACAGATTCAAGTTTGATCAATTTTGAAATGTGTTGAAATTGTGTGGATTGTAGTGTGAAGATGCTTTGAAATATTGCCACATGATTGAATTAACTTGCCTCAAACACCTGCGCAAAGAAAGTTCCTGCGTTGTTCAGTCTACACAAAATTCAGCAAACACTTTGCACCAGTTGTGTCGCTCTAGCTCGAAATGTCTAGATTCTGGACGTTCCGTGCTCTCAGTCGTTGCTCCGCAGTTGCCTGACCTGGCCACAGGTCAAAAAGGTCCAACTGTGGGATGATGACATGAAAGCGGGCTGATCACAAAGGACATCCAACCTGTTGAGAGCAGAATAGTGGGATCGTTGACATTGATTTGTGGTACAGTTGTTGAGTGCTATGCCGGGGTTATGTCAACTCAGTATAGACCTTGGCCGTTTGCCACTAGCGCCTTCGGTGCAGTAATTACCGTATTTGATGAGTTTGTTTTGCAGTTTGTGGACTTGGATGGAGACATCAAAGACATCAAAGAATAAGTGTTCATAATGTGGTACCACATTTTGCAACAGAGGTTGGCCGCTCCTACTTATGTGCAAAAAAGACTGTCTTTTTTGTCACCCAGAGATGGGCCTGGCACATGCAGGATTCCTACTATTCTCATGATGGTTTTTTCAAGACCTTCGGCTTTGACACCCACCTCGGTCCCCAGAATTGGCAAGAAAACGAATTACAGGAAACTGTGATCTCACCCTCCAAAATAGGCCTTGCAAGCAAAATCCTTATTACCCAAAACAAAGTCCCATCGAATCTGCAGAAGTCCCACGTCACTAATCAACTATTGACATAGGGGAGAAGGTATTCACGCGCGGATGTGACAACTTTGGTTGGGACATCAAATTGGGACTCAATCAAGTTTGCGTATCACTTTCCATCTACAATGAAGAGAAACAAGTCACAACTGACCAAACAGCCCAAATCTCATAGATGAGGAAGATTGCAATCTTGCAAAGAGATCCCTGTTGGAAGCAAAATTAAGTCTAAAGACAAGGATTTGAAATAGGAAACCAGCTGAGCAAGAAACAATTCTGACCCCCCAACTTGCTGAGCTTGAAAATTTCAACTGAGATTAAAAAGCTGTTCCAACATAGCAAGTGGTGCTATTGAACTGCTTAGTCCGAGCGAGTCAATTCAGGTACAGTAAGAGAACAACAGCCACATCAAATCAGGCAAATTCAACTATTGCTTGTTGCCAAGCCAATAGATGATCCTAAGTTTCCTTTGGAGCAAATTCTTGATCATGGACATGATGAACAAAGCCTGAATCCAGATGGATTGTTCGTGGAGACAAGGATCCAGATGTGTTTTCCGTGCCTTCAACATCACCAGTGATTTCTAGACACACTCTGTTTTTGGGTTTACAAATTCTAGCAAGGCGTGAAATGGGAGATACATTCAGATGTTTCTCAGGCCTTCATGGAAGGATCTCCAGAGATCAGCCACTGTTTTGCGAGGTTCCGACCGATCTGAACTCCATATATAGTTCGTCTAAGGAAATCAGTGTTTGAACTCACTGATGCTCCCTTTCAGTGGAATAGACATCTGGAAAATCCACTTCGCAAATTGAAATATAAGCCAGGTATTTTAGATGCGTGCTTGTATACCCTACATATCGAAGATCAGTTGCAGGGGATGATCACTTTGACAACTGATGATATGGTTGCTGGTGGAACCAAAGAACATTTGGCAGCTTCGTGTTAAGTATAAGTTCGGAAAATAGGAGCACAAGCAGGGCCGGTTTTGCGGTAAAGATATTACTCATTACTCAGTATAAAGAGAATTCTATTATATAAGATTATATACTCAGGAGTATCATGTCCAACTCAAATGCACTGAAAAGATTCCCATTCCCAATGCTCATCAAATCAAACAGTTGCGTTCATGCATTGGAGCTTTGAGCGAAACTCGTGTTGATCTCATGGGTTCGGTGGCCTTGTTGATTCAGTGCTTCCCAAATCCCAAGATCAAAGGTCTTTGAACCTGCAATCGCATATTGAAGGAGACAGTAAGACACCAGGATTGTCCTTGCTGATACAGTCCATTCCAATTGACTTGTGTATTGTCGTAACCAGTGAAGAAAACCAGAACGCCCGAGACTAAAACCCATCTCGTCACTCTAGTTGAGAAATTGATGAGAGATACCAGTTTGGCCGCACACCTATAACGAAGAACTTCATACACCTCCAACAGCTGAAGATAAAGATCACTATGGCGACTTCGACTTCCAATTTAACACCACTAAGATGGAAAGCAAGGCTGAACAACAGGATGAAGGTACCTCAATGGACAAGATTGCGCGTAATTCAAACTGTACCTCTCGTCCGCCCAAATTAGATATAATTGTTCAAAACACCATTTCTACAGATTTGAAAGGGCCAACACATTGCCTATGCCAAAATACTAGTAGCACAACCAAGAATAATTGCTGCGGTTTCCTTAACTCAGAGAGCTGCAAAAATGTTAGAGAAGCCAGTAGGTAGTGAGGTAGGAGTGGAGAGAACTTGACTGCGGCCACCTGAACAGCATACGAAGCTCTTGTATGTTCCTACACCTATTGCGCTTCTGATGTGCTTGAAAAGAAGGTGCAATTTCACTCATGTGTTCATCCATGAAGCTCACCTGAGAGACATATACAGACCTGTTGCTCACTGTATGATTTCTGCAACGCTCTAACCTTCCTCCGTTTAAAGTCATGTTCATGTCTGCTGCCGTGAACACTAACTAACGCGTACCTCGAGTTTGTCTACAAAGCAGTTCCACAATGCAAACGGAATCATGTGGTATCATCACAACAAACAAATGCCAGAAGTGCCCACGCATACCTTGGTCGATTACCCTTCTTCCAAGAAAACGGAATCATGAGGGATCAAGATGGGAACTGGTACTGCAACAGAAAAGAATACACTCATTAATTCGTATCCACGCAATTACTGCTGATTTCATTATAAGTTACCGTCAGAAGTAGTGGATTTGGAAGACTTAGAAAGCATGTTGATCCTTCCTGGTAGGAAAAACCTGCTAGGATTACGGCCACAAACTACGCGTTTGCCAGAGTATTCAGCACGTCCTTGCTCAGGGTGATATGACAGCGCAACAACAACCGGCTTCTTTCCAGCAAAGCGCTGATTCAACCAAAAGACAAATAATTTTAGCCACGGACGTGGTGGAAACTAGTGTTACAATTCCCGACCTTACCCACGTCATTGACACAGGTGAACATGACCGATTTACATACTTCACAGCATGCAACGCGTATGTCATGTGTTATCAGGATGCTTCATCAGCCACGAAGAAGCACAAAGAAGCGGAAGAGTAGGACGCACGAAAGGAGGTCAGGTAGGTCACTAGATTGCTACCCGATCATATTGTCAGCCCTATACCTCTCCTTAAAGTTTGCATACACATCTTGAGGAACGTATATCACTTATCCTGGACAAGCCGGACTCGGGAACTCCAGTTACCCTTCTTAGCTCTCTTCCTTCTCCACCAAGTAGTGCGCCTTTTTGAATACCAAATGATTAACATGGAGCAAAGTGGCGTATATCCCACCTGTCCAGGCAAACTATTACTAGCACCTTGCAACGCGCCCACAATTGGGATTTCTTGTCTTCCAAGGCTTACGCTTTCGAATGTCCTATTTTGGCAGCAATATATATTATGTCACTATGCTCTACACGAAGGAGCCTTCACTTTTCCGAGGTTGCGCAAAGTCCTGCCGTGTTTCCCACTCACTGTTCATTCAGTGAGTGGACCAGGGACCATCAAACATGCCCTGACCCCCCTTACTCTCTTAAGGGAGGTTTGCATGCTTGACCTCATCGCCTTTCTTCCCCCTTTTCTTCTTGGTGGTGCTCAGGGGATGGTGGTGGGTGACCTGAAAAGGGGGGTCAGGGCCGCAACGCTGCGCGCGTCGCGTCGTGACAGACCCCGTGATGCTCACGAGTTGTCGTCACTATGCTCTACACGAAGGAGCCTTCACTTTTCGGAGGTCGATCTTCTTCCCGATAGCCAACCCCGAGATCTTCTGGATGCTCGCCGAAGAGCAAGACTGTAGCCCCGTTTTGAGATATGGGGCACTCCTCCAATGCATCCAACACATCCAGCATGAACAGCACGAGCACATTGCCTAACTCCGCATCCTTGCTGTGCCTCGAAGACAGCCATGGGAAGCCCCAAACATACTGCCTGTATCTAATCATGGGTGGCCCGCGGCAGTTTGCACCACGTACCCGAGACCATGTCGAACAGGGCGGTGTAATGAGCACCACATCAAACTCACCAGCCCTCACGCGAGCCAGCAACCTCTGCTGAACCTCTGACTTCGAGTGAGAGGTCCCAGTCAGCCGAATTCTGAATGTCCACATCGTGCACGATGCATTGAATGCCCTGTTGCCTGCACTGCTGTTCCAAGAACATCAGCGTCTTGTATGCTGCCTCCGGCGCTGATCTTGCGCAAGGCTCCTGCACGATCGCCTCCAGGTACTCCGCAAACTCAGCCGCATGGCTCGGCCACGGCTTCCCACAAGCCAACTCCAGCCATTGTCCGACTTTCTGCCATGTCTTGACATGTTTGCGGAGTGTGTTCGGGCGCCGGCCTTTGGCTATGCGCATCATCAACGAGTCCTTTTGGATCTGCGGGTCGCCGGCAAAGAGGCCTTCTTCGTGATATCTCTCAACATAGCAAGCCAGCGGTCTCTCTCGGCCTTCTCGGCCGCCTCCCGTAGCGCTAAGTCCGGACCCGCCAAATGTAGCATCTTCCCCAGGCGGGTGGGCCATTTGAAGACCTTTGCACTTCCGACCAACTTGACCCGCTCTGCGACTTCTTGGCCCTCCAAGCCCTCGAAGACTCGTCTCCTCTTCTCACGCTGGTGCTCGACATGTGCCTCCAGCAAATCTTGTGAGCCTCGACCCGCGTCTGCTCTGTGGATCGTAGCCGACCTGTTGTCGCACTTGTCTCCCGTAGTCCTGCAACATCTTGTCCGAAGTCTCCCTTCAACTCTAGGATGGAATCCAGGACCTTCAACTTGCAGCCTTTCAAAGTTGCTAACCTCGTCACAGTCCATCCTAGCTCTGCCAGGGCCTCGTGCGGCCATTGCGGCAACTCTGGGTCCCCCTACCTGACCTGAAAAGGGGGGTCAGGGCCGCAACGCTGCGCGCGTCGCGTCGTGACAGACCCCGTGATGCTCACGAGTTGTCATACTACATAAAGGATACCTTTTGTCTCACCTTTAGCCTTTAACCCTATCATATCGAGAGCTAACTGAACTGGTCAGCTGTAAGGCGTGCATACAAGCAGAGCTTCTTCCAGATAACTCAACCCAAACTCGCAGCGACCTCTTTACAAGTATGGAGGATACATAGTGTGGAGAAACATTTCACAGCAAAGGAAGACGGATGACGCACGTCAGGTCCTTTCGCAGCTATTCCTAAAACCTGAAACATGTCAAGACAGAAAGATTACCTCCCCCTAGAGCAGGCAGAGGATAGACAGGAGGACAAGTTTAGACCTATCCACTGGGAAATGCAAACACTTGACCTAATATATCAAACCAAACTGAACTCCTGTCTGTGCTTAAAAAGGAATTTCAACACAATCTCCCAATCTTACAATGGTGCTTCGCCGACTCCTTTCCAAAGAAAGCTCTTACCATCTGTCAACATCAGTGCTCAACACGAGTGAAACTAACTACTAACGAAGACGCGGTTTGCCCTTCGGTTGCCAAGCTCCATGAAGTAGGCATCGAGATTGACTCGTATCAAAGATTAGCACATTGCAAATATGAACATCAAAATACACACAAATATAACAGACATTGCTAGCGTTACAGGTGCAGCAGTTTCCCCACCCCTGGCACTCTCAAAAGTAACTTGGGTATTCTTAGCGCCTAAAATTAGATGGCGCACATACACACAAAGGGGGGGTGCATAGAACCATGGAAACTTCTGCAAGTTGCAAGCTATTGAAGAGGATTGCAGCAGATCCGTTCATAGGACCCTCCAAAACTAAATGCAGATGTATCGATCAAAAGTGGCTTCTGTAGCAAAGCAGTGCAGCGGGAAATGTGTCTGAATTTGATGACGTGGGTTTATGGGTTTACGCGGGTTTATGCGGGCTTACGCGGGTTTACGGATTTACGCGGGTTTACGCGGGTTTACGGGCTTACGCGTGTTTACGGGTTTACGCGGGTTTACAGGTTTGCTGGGTTTAGAGATGTTTACGATTTGCGGTGTGTAGTCGAATTCTATCATGTCTTCGAAAGCGAAATCATGTGATGTTCTGGGAAGGCTGCCATCAAGAGGGCATGGTTTCTCATCTGTGTACAACAGTTTTAGCTATGAATATATAAGTATCTCTGAGTGTCGTTTGTCTCTGTTATACGGCGTAATGGCCGACAACCCTTCAAACGACCCCGACTATTGACGATCTTGAGGAACCATTGGCTTGAATGGACATGGGGGTGGAAATGGGATGTGAACATAGGCCTTGACACAATACTAGACGACCAGAGTAAAAGCAAGACTAATTGATCTTGGACCTTGGACGGGCCGAACCCTTGTTGCCATGGACCTCTCCTATGCTGCGTGCAGTCGGTAAACCGGTGTAAACCGGTGTAAATCGGTAAACCGGTGTCGTCAAATACCAGACGCGCGTGATGCCGCAATGGCAAATGTGGCCCATTTGCTTGCGCCTTGCTGTTTCCAAAGAAAAAGCCTTCCTGTCCGTCCCCAAAGCACCTGCTCCTCCTGCTCGGCTAGATCCTCCATGCTGGGCCTCCTGAAGCAACCATCGGGGTCCAACGGTCTTTGTGAAGATCCCAAATTTGTCAAGTACTTTTCAGTATGGCGTCAAGATTTAGAGCCAAGCACAGCGCATCTCGACTTCATTCTACAAGCCGAGGAGTTCTTCTCTCTACCTGTCCTACCTCCCCACAGCCGGTCCTCCGCCTGCGGCACATGCGTTGGACCCTGCAACAGCAGCACATCCAAGGGATCACAAAATGATATAAGCACCCGTCCTGACCACCAACCCAAAAATTTATCCACGCATTCCTTCATCGGCCAAAGGAGGACAACCAAGCATCCCTGCATCTGAGCTTAGTCTAATTCCAAAGACCCTCACTTTGACGCCCCAGGCCTCCTCCATCTTCCGTCAAAGCTGCGGAAGGTTGAGGAGATATCCACCACAGGCCGAAGGAGCTCCAAACTGGCTTGGACACACAAAGTCAATGACCCACAAAGCACGACAAAACATTCTGATTCAGTCTGATTGAATGTCTCAAAGATCGTGGATGTGTTTCCCTTTCTTCTTGACTTCAACCCACATGCTTTCCCTGGAAATTCTGTTCCCTTCCACCAGCTAGTACTTCTCTAAGAACCAGCCTCCAAGGTAAATACCCACTTACATAAAAGCCACAGCTGGTGCAATTGATAGAAAAATGATTCAAGTTTCTTGTAGCAATCACTACCTTGAAGGGAAGTTGCGAAACGCTTACCGCAACTTGCTGTTCGGCTATCTCATGAATGTTCCCTCCCATGACAATGTTGGGATGGGCTCTACAAGTAGTTTGGCGCAAGGCCAAACTTCTATTTCTATTTATGGTTTTATTCTTCGTCTTTTTCTTCTTCTTCTTCTTCTTCTCCTTCTTCTTCTTGCCAGGTCAGTGCAACATGTTACCAGAACTGGTGAGGGTAACAATGCAATCCTTGAGATATAAACTGATCCTTGACCACGTTCGTTTCTCATGACAACGTGGACGGCAAGCAGTCCGTTTGCTGAGCGAGGCATCACCTGCCTTCTAGAGGCTCATGAGGAAAAGCGTGT